TAAAAGAACAAAAAGTTAAGATGCATCAATGTTCTGCTATAAAATTCAACTTTCGATACAATCAAGACGTTACCTGTCCCAAATTAGGTTCTTTTAAACCATATCATGTAATTTGATCGAGACAATGGAATAAGTTATACTTGTTTGACACATAGAGCTTAGAATTAAACATATAGGTGTACATGGATCTAAGTGAGTGAGTGAGTTGTGTTTAACGCCGCTACTTACAGTATTCCAGTTATATCACGGCATGTCAGCTTAAAGTGGGAGGAAAGCCCGAAGTGATGCAGGTCTCAGACGTTTATCATTTCGGTGAAACCCACGAGCCGATAATGAGCCCATGGCCAACCAGCCTGAATGTGCCAGAATCAACCAAACCTTTGTTGCATATTTTATTTTAATCTGTACATAGCCAGATTGTTTCGGTGACTGAACAGATTGCTATATCAAAGTAGGAGAGCTTGAGTGTATTGTTTTCTCATGGTGGCTGGAGTTTATAGTATTATTTTATCTGTTTTGCTAAAACACAGAAAACGTTTTTTTCTTTCGTTTTATATCTTTAAAGTGAGCGGAAATCTGTTTAAAAGCCTTTCTAGTGAAAGTGATTTATTTCTTTTGCAATTGAGTGAGTGAGTGAGTTGAGTTTAACGCTTCTTTGAAAATATAAATACTTCTGTAATATATTGGCGTGTCAGCGAAATGCAGTCACGTGTTGTCTGGTGTGTCTGATAACGGTTCCACGGTCATGTAATAATACTTGGTGCTACGTGAAAAAAAACTGTCTACGACCAAAGATGATTTCCGTCAGTCGTAGCATGTTTTCGCTGTTCACTTGCTCTAAGATTGTGATTGTGATGGTATGCAAATGAAAACCCAACGCTTTTAACCCAGCAAGTCATGTTACACGTGCATGTCATGTTAGTGTGTTTTGGTGCCAGGCTCTCACCTGGTTATATTTCTGCAATTTTTCGATCTTTTCACCACATTTCTGCACTACCTCATTCTTTCCACACATATAAATCTCAATCGATGCAGAAATGACAACTCATTTTCGGTGTTTACTTTGTATGGATGTCGGCAACACTTATATATTTACGATTTTACTACTTTTGCGTTTCTCGTTTTGCAGAGTATATGCTGCAGAGTATGAATTGCCAATGCAAGAGGAAAACCAGTCTCGATTATCCACCGAAATAAATTCCATTTGGCGTAAAGGGCAAAATAGCTGTGAACATTATATGAATTGACCACTGAAAATCAGTGCTTACTGCTTTGTTCAAGTCCCATTTACTTTCAAAGATAGGTGATTAGTTTGTGTCAACAACAACAGTTGAGGTGAAATGGGGTTTAACGTCACGTCCAAGATGATTGCACTTACATGTATATAACGACGTGCATGTGCGTGCGTGCGTGCGTGCGTGCGTGCGTCCTTGAGTGTGTGCGTGCGTGTGTGTGTGTGGCTGCTTCTACTAGTCCGGACCGATGATGCCAATTGTATAGTGCTAGCCCACTGAGACACCATGCCACAGTTTAACATGAATACCCTACTCAGCTCCTTAATACCGAGCGTCAGGCAGGGTAACGACAAGTGCCATCTTTTAACATCTTTTGGTATGACGCGGCCGGGGATCGAGCCCCGGACCTTCTGCTCGGACGCCCTACCACTAGTCCACTGAGGCGGTCGTCAACAACAAGAAAGTAGGATTTATGGGCAGAGGAACACCACCAAAGTAAAATCCAAAGTTGAAACAACCCCGGTTGCTTGCAGACCGTTAGAACTAATTTGCTGAAATTTTCATTTGCAAAATATTTGTATTGTGGCTCTCGGATATATTGCCCTACAAACAAAATACTTTACGCCATATCCCTGGAGTAAATGTGCCTCTTACCCAGATTGACAGAAAACCAACCAAGCAACCATTTCTATAATTAATTCACTTGGAGGTGTTTTTATTCACCAGTTTTAAATCTATCTCTTTCCAGTGTTTTTATGCATCCAGCCTTTCATGAAATCAATATCTAGAAGTAGTTTAGATGCTTTCGGTGATAAGTTTTCTAAAGCCATTAGCAGAAAGTAGAATTTAGTCAAGTGTATATGATCTAAATGACAAGCCCCTTAAGCAAAGGCGGGTGGTGGGGTGGCCTAGTGGTTAAAGCGTTCGCTCGTCACGCCGAAGACCCGGTTTCGATTCCCGACATGGGTACAATATGTGAAGCCCATTTCTGGTGACCCCCGCCGTGATATTTGTGGAACATTGCTAAAAGCGGCGTAAAACCATACTCACTCACTCACTCACTCTTTCATGTTACGTTTATGGATTCTGTCACATTAATCCAAACATTTGCAGGGTTAAAGGGGAAGTGTACACGCAAAAATCACTTTCTTTCTTTTTCTAAACAAAACGCAATTTTAGAATTAGTTAGTATCTGTGTTTGAAAATATAAACTAATTTTTTTCACAGTTTAGTAGGAAGCTCCCAATAGTGTGAAAATGATATGCCGTTATGAGGCCTTCGTTTTTCGAGCTAAACAGGCCTGAGTTATCCCCCTTAGATTATGACGTAATTGGTGCCAATGTTACTGGGTCCCTGTCTATTCTCAACGCAAAAGATATCAAGTACCAGTTTGCGGTAAAACAACATGGCCTACGACACACTCCGGCGCAGTGGTGACTCAGCATAACACTATGCTGGCTGGCATCTGAGACGCTAGAATCACACACATGTACCTACACCACGTGAAGCGGCTCTAACAAAGCATGATGACGTCATAATGTTTATCAATTGGCACCAATGACGTCATATTGCAAGGGGCATAAGCCATGGTGTTTTTGTTATGGAAATAGAACACTTGGTAAATGTGAAAAATAGAAATCGTTTTAATGCAAAAAATATGTTAATTAATTGTGATATTTTTATATTTTTGTCTATGACACTACTAGGTTAACACTTTTTTAATGTGGAAAAAGTACAAGAAAAATAGGTTCATTTCCGTGTGAACTTGCCCTTTAAGTAAAGGCTAGCTGTCTGTCATCGTGACACTTTCCATTGCAACATTTCCAAAGTTTCCAAATATTGCTAAAAGCGGCTTAAAACCATACTCACTCACTTTAGCAAAGTAGTAAATGAGAAAGTGAGTGAACGCCGCTTTGAACAATATTCCAGTTATATCACGGCGTCCGTAGTAAAGTAATATATGAATGTGAGTGAGTGAGTCAATATACATTATGCCAATGTAAATATGAAATGTGAAATATGCAATGAATTTACTGACACTGTCCAACACAGTGTCAGTGGATGATCCGCTTTGGCACAAGCACAAACATGGATAGGATGGTGTAGCTCGGTCATTTTATTACCGTCTTTGCCATGCTTGTGGTCTTGACACTGAGGTTCATCCATGGCACGACCCATAATATGTAGGGGGTGTCATGGAAAATGACAAATGCATAATTCTTTGGGATAGTCCCGTATACAGCCTCAGGCCTATCTAGGCCTTACAGACCCAATCTTGTCCTTTTTTATAAATCCAATGAAATCATTTTTACTATTAAAATAAATATTTTGTACCTTTTTACACTTATGTGATTGACAAGATTCAGGGGAAAAATGACAAATATGCAGACCTCGCTTTCGAAGCGTCAAGTTTTCCAACTCCCAATTGTTCTCGGTGTCTTGGGTTTGGTCTCTGATATTAGGAGAGTGCCAAGGTTTGCTGCAAGGAGTACAGCCCCTCTGATAATCTGGGTAATGCAGAAGGCTGCAGTGTTTGAGAGTCTTCACATTTTCAGAAACGTTCTGGGTGGGTTCGACTAGGCAGCGCTTCGCTGTCTGGGCTGCTTGTAGAGGGGGCAAGGGCCCTGAGCTGATGATGAGCCTAACCAGCCTGACTGTGCCAGGATCACCCAAACCCTCTTTGCTGCATTTTTTTATTTTCATCTGTAAATTAGAATAATAATAATAATAATAATTATAATAATTATAATAAATACCTTTCCTGTACATGTAGTTCTAACTATATGTCTCTTTTACGTACCAAATCACATCCATTTACATGTATTAGATGTCAGTAATCCAAGTGAAAGATCAATAGTCTGTTTCTGTTAATTGACGTTTTATAAATTTATTCCTAAACATTACTACATATGATTGTAGTGATAGCAAATATATTTACATTACTAGTATATTTCTTTAAATATTTTACTAGAAAACAACAGAAAACGGTATCCAGGTACATTTGTATATGATCCTTCATTCATTTCTATCAGTATGTATAACAGTGGAGAAATGTCCCGAGAGGTTCAGTATTGTTGCTGAAGGGATTTCGAATGATTTAGTTAAATGCTAAATCTTCATATTTCCCACGATATGACCATAGAGAGATTGTTTCGGTGACTAAACATATTGATATCTTCTTTTATTTTATATGTTCTGAAACTAGCGGAAACATATTTAAAAGCTTTTCTAGTGAAAGTGATTTTTTTCTTTGCAATTGAGAAGTCATATTTAAGTGAGTGAGTGAGTGGATTTGTGTGCGTTGATGGGTGTTTGAGTAAGTGAGTGAGTTGAGTTTTAAGCTGCTTTGAAAACTGAATTAGTTCTGTTACATTGTCAGCTTAATGCTGGTGGAAAATCCGATCTGATGCAGATACAAGGCGTTTACCTGTCTCGCGAAACATTCTCAAGACAAATCATGGGTTCGAACCCACTTATCATCGGTTCTGGTGTGACTGAGAGACCTAGTCTGTAAGGAGAATTGTGGCGCCTTACGGGCCGACTTGTTTATATATTTGGAAGTTTGGGTTTGGGGAATATTCCTCGGAGTTTACTGAATAATTAAATCGTCCACCGGACATGCTGGAAAAATAATGAGTTATTGGTCCTTAAGCAATGCCCTCAAATTATTGCCTCACCTTCATAATTTGAAGCTCTGACTCTAAAAAACCCTTCATCATTGAACAACTGAGTACTTAAATACACTATTGACAAAAGGAAAGATGCTCAAAGTATATAGCCTTTATTTCAGAAAATATTAGAGCGATCCGTTGACGTGGAAGGTTATGTCACCTTCGTCTCCGCGGTATGGTGAAGAGTTGTTCCCATTTGCATCTTGTCAAAGACACTGTTAGAGTTACTCCCCTTTCCTCCTGATCAACGACATGCCATCGAAGACGTTTAACATAATCTGAAACAACATACATGTGAGACCATACCATGCCAGGAAACAGAGGGAGACATCGAAGACGTTTAACATAATCTGAAACAACATACATGTGAGACCATACGATGCCAGGAAACAGAGGAGGTTTGAAAGGATCATACGATGCAAGGAAACAGAGGAGGTTTGAAAGGATCATACGATGCAAGGAAAGAGAGGATGTTTGAAAGTATCATACGATGCAAGGAAACAGAGGAGGTTTGAAAGTATCATACGATGTAAGGAAACAGAGGAGGTTTGAAAGTATCATACGATGCTGGGAAACAGAGGAGGTTTGAAAGTATCATACGATGCAAGGAAAGAGAGGATGTTTGAAAGTATCATACGATGCAAGGAAACAGAGGAGGTTTGAAAGTATCATACGATGCTGGGAAACAGAGGAGGTTTGAAAGGATCATACGATGCAAGGAAACAGAGGATGTTTGAAAGTACCATACGATGCAAGGAAACAGAGGAGGTTTGAAAGTATCATACGATGCCTTGGAAACAGAGGATGTTTGAAAGTATCATACGATGCTGGGAAACAGAGGAGCTTTGAAAGGATCATACGATGCTGGGAAACAGAGGAGGTTTGAAAGTACCATACGATGCAAGGAAACAGAGGAGGTTTGAACGTATCATACGATGCTGGGAAACAGAGGAGGTTTGAAAGTACCATACGATGCCAGGAAACAGAGGAGGTTTGAAAGTATCATACGATGCAAGGAAACAGAGGAGGTTTGAACGGATCATACGATGCTGGGAAACAGAGGAGGTTTGAAAGTACCATACGATGCCAGGAAACAGAGGAGGTTTGAAAGTATCATACGATGCTGGGAAACAGAGGAGGTTTGAAAGTATCATACGATTCAAGGAAACAGAGGAGGTTTGAAAGTATCATACGATGCTGGGAAACAGAGGAGGTTTGAAAGTACCATACGATGCCAGGAAACAGAGGAGGTTTGAAAGTATCATACGATGCAAGGAAACAGAGGAGGTTTGAAAGTATCATACGATGCCTTGGAAACAGAGGATGTTTGAAAGTATCATACGATGTAAGGAAACAGAGGATGTTTGAAAGTATCATACGATGCTGGGAAACAGAGGAGGTTTGAAAGTACCATACGATGCAAGGAAACAGAGGAGGTTTGAACGTATCATACGATGCTGGGAAACAGAGGAGGTTTGAAAGTACCATACGATGCCAGGAAACAGAGGAGGTTTGAAAGTATCATACGATGCTGGGAAACAGAGGAGGTTTGAACGGATCATACGATGCTGGGAAACAGAGGAGGTTTGAAAGTACCATACGATGCCAGGAAACAGAGGAGGTTTGAAAGTATCATACGATGCTGGGAAACAGAGGAGGTTTGAAAGTATCATACGATTCAAGGAAACAGAGGAGGTTTGAACGTATCATACGATGCTGGGAAACAGAGGAGGTTTGAAAGTACCATACGATGCCAGGAAACAGAGGAGGTTTGAAAGTATCATACGATGCCAGGAAACAGAGGAGGTTTGAAAGTAGCATACGATGCAAGGAAACAGAAGAGGGTTGAAAGTATCATACGATGTAAGGAAACAGAGGATGTTTGAAAGTATCATACGATGCTGGGAAACAGAGGAGGTTTGAAAGTATCATACGATGCCAGGAAACAGAGGAGGTTTGAAAGTATCATACGATGCTGTGAAACAGAGGAGGTTTGAAAGTATCATACGATGCCAGGAAATAGAGGAGGTTTGAAAGTATCATACGATGCAAGGAAACAGGAGGTTTGAAAGTAGCATACAATGCAAGGAACAGAAGAGGGTTGAAAGTATCATACGATGTAAGGAAACAGAGGATGTTTGAAAGTATCATACGATGGAAGGAAACAGAGGTTGTTTGAAAGTACCATACGATGCAAGGAAACGGATGAGGTTTGAAAGTATCATACGATGCAAGGAAACAGAGGAGATTGAAAGTATTATACGATCATACGATGCTGGGAAACAGAGGAGGCGCTCTCTAGTATGCCTAGAAAACAACCCCACTCACACCCCAACCTCACACACACGAACCTACCTAATCACCCCCCTCTCTCTCTCTCTCTCTCTCTCACTCTCTCTCTCACTCTCTCTCTCCCTCTCTCTCATACTCTCCCTCTCCCTCTCTCTCTCACTCTCTCTCACTCTCACTCTCTCTCTCCGTCCCTCTCTCTCTCACTCTCACTCTCCCTCTCTCACTCACTCTCACTCTCTCTCTCACTCTCCCCCTCTCTCTCCGTCCCTCTCTCTCTCACTCTCTCTCACTCTCCCCCTCTCTCTCTCTCTCTCTCTCTCTCTCTCGTTAATGCACTGTCTTACCTGGTCCACCCTTTCGTCTTGCATGATGATTTTGTTCATCCTATCCACTGCCGAGTTCGACTCGGTGTACGCCAACCCTATTTCAAAGGCGTTGTCCACCACCAGTGTTGCCCCGGGAGCAAGAAGACTTCGATCCATTATTTTCTAAAATGATGAATGAGTAAATAAGTTAGTGAGTGGGGTGGGTTAACGCCGCTTTGAACAGTATTTTAGTAAAGTGAGTGAATATGCTTTTATGGTATTTCACAAACGTAAGCTTGCTTTTCTCACCATCACTGTTGAGCTTTTATCATGAGGTGAGTTGGGTTTTACGCCGCTTTGAACAGTGTTATAGTTATATCATGGCGTGTCAGCATGATTTAGGAGGAAAGCCCGAAGTGATGCAGGTCTCAGACGTTTACCATTTTGGTGAAACCTACAAACACGGGTATGATGATGACAAACCTAGAAACATAATCGAGCCGAACTGGGTTTCGAACAAACGACCCTAGGTTTCTTGCGTGCGAAAGGGACGCAACTCTGCACAGCGAATTGCGACGCCTTTGACTACTGGACGCCAATGATGAATGGTGTCCTGACTGTTCAGCTGACCAATATATTTATTGTTCTGACAGAACAGGCGTAGTCTGTTCCCTTTTTTATTATTATCAGCTGCATCTGTGCTTCTGGTTTTCCATAAGTAACGGCGGTGTGGTAAAAGTGTTAGCTCGTCTCGCCGAAAGTCAGAGTTCGATTCCCCACATGGGTACATTTTCTGGCATTTCTGGAATATTGAATAATAAAAACTTACTGATCTGACTCAAGTTAACCTATTTTTTTCAACTGTTGGAAGAAGAGAACTAATATAGTAACTGATTTTATAGCAGCTACGGTAACCGTATCTATGTGCTCCCTATGTATGAATGATTTGGATGCTGATTCGTCGCTACCCAAAGCTACCGGCTATTCCATGGAATTTTCCTGATATATCCCTATTTCCTAACATACATTTTGATGTAGTCCTAATCTTATTTTAATTTGGAACTGAGCACTTTGAAAAAGGTGCTCTATTGCAACGCGACCGCCTCCGTGGTCTAGTGGTAGAGCGTCCGCCCGGAGAGCGGAAAGTCCGGGGTTCCATCCCCGAACGCGTCATACCAAAAGACGTTAAAAGATGGTACTTGTTGTTACCCTGTCTGGCGCTCGGCATTAAGGGGCTAAAACAAGGACTGGTCGGCTCGGAGTCAGTATACTGTGTCTGAGTGGGGTATTCATGTTAAACTGCGGCATGGTATCTCAGTGAGCTAGCACTATAAATCGGCATCAGTCCGGACTAGTACAAGCAGCCACACACACACACACACACACACACACACACACACACACACACACACACACACACACACACGTGCATGCACGTCGCTATATAAGTGCAATAATCTTGGACGCTACGTTAAACCCCATTTCACCTCACCTATTGCAACGCGTAACTACACAGGGTACAAAGGTCCTCCATCTTAGAACATTCCGAAAAGGGGTCACAGGTAGTTTATATGTAACAACTATTAGTAAAGTTCAACATTAAAATACCCATAGTCTTGACTAGTTTAAAAAAAGTGTTCAAAACAAGTAGTTTTTTTAAACAAAGGTTGACAAATAACCCACCAAACTTTGTCCAAAGATATATATTTTAATTTAATCGCAACCCAATCTACACTGTTTTGGAAATCGAATATACCATTTCCCATTGTAGGGGTGACAGGTTGCAGGAATAGTTTTAGAAAAGGCTGACGAATTTATTTCTCCATCAAACTTTATTAATTAAGATTTTTCATGTGTAAGTCGTTTTAGTTAGTTGGCAATTACATCCAGTAAGTAATACAAATTCAAATAAATGACTCTCCACCCTGCACTTGGCTGTGGCAGAACTTGACTTGAACTTGCCAATGGCTGCCAATGTTGTTTACTCGCTCCTGCCCTGCACAGTTACAAGAAGCTAGATGGCAATCCCGATCTACGCTGTTGTTCAGCGTTAACCTGTAGATTTACTAGGAATCAGCTTGCTGGTACAAGCTTGTGACTGGCAATGGAACTGCAATGAATATGACTGAACAACCGTTTTTTTAGGGTGCAACAGGCCAGGATTTTGACACGAGAGATTCAAGATATCACAACATTCGAGGCTAGAATGGGAAAGAAAATCTAAATGTGACAGTTGTGGCCCTTATTTAGTGGTTCGTGAATGTTGTGCTTAAATGATTTTCAGCAAGTTTGATAAGCTGTTTGTGATCAAGCATCTGTGCTGTGACTTCAGGGATGTCGGGACATTCTTGGCCTTTCGAAGGGAGAAGTGTTTACCGATGTATTTTCAAATCCCCTCCTGCTAACGCCTGACGTTGCTGGTTGACGGAGATGGCAATTACTGATCACAAATAAACATGTTGTCATTTGAATGCAAAAGATATGCCTTCGTTAAATCTTGTAAGCTCATCGAAACAGCCAGGGTTACTGGCGAGATCTAGAACTTCAAAATCGTCACCAAAACAGCCCATATCAAAAGAATTTCCCCTTTTAGACGCTGTGCCGTCTATTAATTTCCCGGCATGTATTAGAGACCTGGCTTGTATTTGAGACACAGCGTCAAATAGAGGAAATATCGATACGGTATACAGTTCTTATCGGTGATCGTCGGCCATCTTTTTAGATATCGATATGTAGGCTATCGATGTATTCATACGCATTTCATATTTTTCATTTTCGTATTTTTGTGTGAAAAGGCGTAATATATTGACAGAGGTTTCTGTTGCGAAAAGGAAACAACTTTTTAACCAATCGCAATCAAGCATTCTTCAATGTCATATTAGAATTGCCTTCAATACAATATGTTTCAGATCGTGCAACAATATATTTACCTATCGATTTGGAAAGTGGCCCGGTAAATACTTTTTTTAATCCTCCCGATGATTCTAACCCTTTTAGTACACAAAACGTTGCATGGTCGAAAATAAAAGTACACATGTTTGAAGGAAGCGAATCGTGTTGCAGTTATCGGGGGATTACGAGTCATTTACACAAAGGCCTTCGGGAATCTATTTGGAACATAGTATGAAACAGCAATGAAGTCAATATTATAATTGTTTACATACCCGTGAAGATCCGGTATAGAATAGGTCTTCAACAACCCATGCTTTCCGTAAGAGGTGACTATGCTTGTCGAAAAAGGCGACTAACGACACCAGGTGGTAAGGCTTGCCTACTTAGTGGATGCAAGTCATCGTATCCCAATTCCGTAGATCGATGCTCATGATATCAATCACTGGATTGTCTGGTCCAGACTCGATTATTTACAGACCACCGTCATACGGCTGGAATATTGCTGAGTGCGGCGTTAAACAACAAGCAAGCGATCACTATAGTCGCCTTTTACGGCAAGCATGGGTGCTGAAGACCTATATTATCCCGGATCTTCAGGGGTTACTACCTTGTAGTAATCGGGATAAGTCGCCTTGTCGGCATCGAGATAGATGATATCGAAATGCTGGCACTCCTCGGCAAGGTTGTCCAGTGAGTCCAGGGCAAGACCTGCAAGAACACAAGAACAGGCTTATTTATTCACTCAGAAAGTCAAGGGCAACCTTATTTGTTCACTCAGCGAGTCCGTGAAAAGACCTGCAAGAACACAAGAACAGACTCATTTGTTCACTCAGGAATTCAAGGGCATGACCTGCAAGAACACAAGAACAACCTCATTTGTTCACTCAGCGAGTCAATGGCAAGACCTGCAAGAACACAAGAACAGACTCATTTGTTCACTCAGGAATTCAAGGGCATGACCTGCAAGAACACAAGAACAGCCTCATTTGTTCACTCAGCGAGTCAATGGCAAGACCTGCAAGAACACAAGAACAGCTTCATTTGTTCACCCAGCGAGTCAAGGGCAAGACCTGCAAGAACAGGCTTATTTGTTCACTCAGGGATTCAAGGGCAAGACCTGCAAGAACACAAGAACAGCTTCATTTGTTCACTCAGCGAGTTTAAGGACAAGACCTGCAAGAACACAAGAACAGCCTCATCTGTTCACCCAGCGAGTCAAGGGCAAGACCTGCAGGAACACGAAAACTGCCTCTGAGAAAGACCTGCAAGAACACAAGAACAGGCTTATTTGTTCACTCGGGAAGTTAAGGGCAACCTTAAATGTTCGCACAGCGAGTCCAGGGCAAAACCTGCAAGAACATCCTCATTTGTTCATTCCGTGAGTCAAGGGTAAGACATGCAAGAACACAAGAACAGCCTCATTTGTTCCCAGAGCGAGTCAAGGGGAAGACCTGCAAGAACACAAGAACAGCTTCATTTGTTCACTCAGCGAGTCAAGAACAAGACCTGCAAGGACACAAGAACAGGCTTATTTGTTCACTCAGGAAGTTAAGGGCAACCTTATTTGTTCGCACAGCGAGTCCAGGGTAAGACCTGCAAGAACCCAAGAACAAGCTTATTTGTTCCCAGAGCGAGTCAAGAGGACCTGCAAGAACACAAGAACAATCTTATTTGTTCACTCAGCGAGTTTAAGGACAAGACATGCAAGAACACAAGAACAGCCTCATTTATTCCCTTTACCCATATTTGCCGTAAAAGGCGACTATGCTTGTCGTAAGAGGCGACTGTAGCGACTGTGGCGATCGGGCGGTCAGACTCGTTGACTTGGTTGATGCATGTGATCGTATCCCAATTGTGTGTATTGATGCTCATGATGTCAATCGCTGGATTGTCTGGTCCAGACTCCATTATTCACAGGCCGCCATCATATTGTTGGAATATTGCTTAGTGCGGCGTAAAACAACAAACAAACAACACTGACCAATTACGCACCTTCACATTGTCTATATATAAGCCCTGGTAAGCTCACAGCCAAGTAAAGGCTGATGTTAGGCGTTAAACAACAAACAAACAAACAAAACAAACAGAAGTGAGTGAGTGAGTTGGGTTTAACGCCGCCTGCAACGGTATTCCAGTTATATCACGGCGTATCAGCTTAAAGTTGGAGGAGAGTCAGAAGTGATGCAGGTCTCAGACGTTCAGTACTTTGGTAAAACCCACGAGCACGGGTATGGTGCTGACAAACATGGAAACATCATCGGGGAACTGGGATCATAGGTTCCTGGCGTGCCCAGGGGACGCAACTCTACACAGCGAATTGCAGCGCCTTAGACGACTTAAACAAATTCCGTATGTGTAAAGTTGAGTCTCTCTCTGGTACAAGCCTGTGGTTCTTTGAGTGAATACTGCCGGAACTGACTTAAGAAGTCCTGATTCCACAGTATAAGCAATTGTCCCAGCGCTCTGTATTTTACTGGTGTCATCCAGTTTGACAGCAATGGGATTGCCTAGTGGTTAAAGCGTCCCCCGCCGTGGTATTGCTGGAATATTGTTAAAGCGGGGTAAAACCCAACTTCACTAGTTATCGGGACGGTGTAGTCGCCTAGCGGGTTACGCTTTGCTCGTCACGATGAAAGTACGGGTTTGATTCCAACATTGGTACAATGTGTGAAACCCCTTCTGGGTGTACGTATACGTACCAAGCCGTGACTTTGCTGGAATCTGCATGAAAGCGGCATTAAACCATACTGACTCAAGCTGGTTACTAGGTAAATATTTTTTTTAGTCGCACCTTGTCTTATCTCTATTTTCTTTCCGTATGGTGAACCATCGAATGTCTCCCTCGCCATCTCTACCAAATAAGGCTCTATCTCACAGGTCACCACCACGCCATCTTCAGGAAGAGTCTCCGCCATTGCCATGGCAACATATCCTGTAAACATCCCGATCTCCAGGACTCTCTTAGCTTTCTGCATCCTTATCAAGAACTGAAGAAACTGTGCTGCAAATAAAGATGTTCTTTCTTCCAGACAAAGAATAATATGGAACTGACAAGATTAGAAACATTTACGCCATAACAGCTAGAATTTTTTTGTGTTCAGATGGTATATTATTATATTTCTATGAGGCCAAGTACAAATTAGCTCAGATGTATCTTATTGCAGATGTTTTAGTTTCAGAAAATCAACAATTGCCTAAAAGGATAGAGGTGAACTATATACCGTATGCCTAGAAAACCACCTCACCCCCACAACTCTCTCCCATCCCCTACCCACAAACAATCCCCTCCCCTTCACCCACACACACACACATGTGGACGCAGACACACAGATTCGCACGAACACACGCACGCACACCCACCAACCCCACATAGACTAATCCCGATCCCACACCACACCACCACATACCCTCACCCCAAGTGCTTCACATATACATTTGATAATCACCAAACCCATCCCACTTCACTACATACCCTCACTCCAAAAAAAACCGTGATGATTCCGGGGTAGAATAGGTCCTCAGCAACCCATGCTTGCCGTAAAAGGCGACTATGCTTGTCGCAAGAGGCGACTAACGGGATCGGGTGGTCAGGCTCGCTGACTTGGTTGATGCATGTCATCGATCCAAATTGCGTGGATCGATGCTCATGATATTAATCACTGGATTGACTGGCCCAGACTCGATTATTTACAGACCGCCGTCATATAGCTGGAATATTGCTGAGTGCGGCGTTAAACAACCAACCAACCAACCCAAGCGCTTGTCATAAACATCCGATAATCACCAACCCCATCCCACACCACCACTTGCCCTCACCCCCAACAGCTTGACACATACATCCGATAATCACCATCCCCATCCCACACCGACACTTACCCTCCCCCCAAACTGCATGCCACATACATCCGATAATCACCAACCCCACCCCACACCACCACTAACCCTCCCCCCAAACTGCTTGCCACATACATCCGATAATCACCAACCCCATCCCACACCACCACTTGCCCTCACCCCCAACTGCTTGACATGTACATCCGATAATCACCAACCCCATCCCACACCACCACTTGCCCTCACCCCCAACTGCTTGACACATACATCCGATAATCATCAACCCCATCCCACACCACCACTTGCCCTCACCCCAAACTGCTTGACATGTACATCCGATAATCATCAACCCCACCCCAACCGACCACATAGCCTCACCCTAACAGCTTGACACATACATCCGATAATCACCAACCCCACCCCACATCACCAGATACCCTCCCCCCAACTGCTTGACACATACATCCGATAATCACCAACCCCACCCCACATCACCAGATACCCTCCCCCCAACTGCTTGACACATACATCCGATAATCACCAACCCCACCCCACATCACCAGATACCCTCCCCCCAACTGCTTGACACATACATCCGATAATCACCAACCCCATCCCTTACCACCACTTGCCCTCACCCCCCAACTGCATGCCATATACATCCGATAATCACCAACCCCACCCCACATCACCAGATACCCTCCCCCCAACTGCTTGACACATACATCCGATAATCACCAACCCCACACCACATCACCAGATACCCTCCCCCCAACTGCTTGACACATACATCCGATAATCACCAACCCCACCCCACATCACCAGATACCCTCCCCCCAACTGCTTGACACATACATCCGATAATCACCAACCCCACCCCACCACATACCCTTACCCCAACTGTTTGACACAAACACACGATAATCACCAACCCCACCCCACACCACCACATACCCTCATCCCCCACCCCCCACACACCCTCCAACTGCTTGACACATACATCCGATAACTACCAACACCACCCCACACCACCACTTGCCCTCACCCCCCAACTGCTTGACACATACATCCGATAACTACCAACCCCACCCCACCACATACCCTTACCCCAACTGTTTGACACAAACACACGATAATCACCAACCCCATCCCACACCACCACATACCCTCACCCTCCAAGTGCTTGACACATACATCCGATAATCACCAACCTCACCCGATGAAAACAGGTTTTACCTTCTCCGTATCCACTCATCCATACGGGAGAGAACTCCGTCTTGACTTTCCCTTCATCAAACAGTTTCTTCCATGGCATTTTGTACGTCTTTTCGCAGATCATCCGGGTATTCGGGGGTTCCGGCATTGTTAATTTCTGACAGTAATTCTCCCTCGCTTCAATCAGGCCCAGGACTCTGTGAATACTCTCAGCAACGTCGGAGGGTGTGTCAGGCCGCTGCGACCGTGTGAGGAGTCCACATAAGTGCTCCACAGCAGGGTCACGAGCCATCACCTTGCTAAGGAGTTTAATTCCCTTTCTTGTCGCCATCTTTCAATAGCAAAGATAACCAAAATTTCAGACATGTGTACAAGTTAGGGGCATGGGGAGAGGTCATATTTCCTTGTGCGAAGTTGCCTCCTTTTGGCATGCAAGAAACAAGCTCCTTCCCAGCGCGTGACACCTTCGCTACACTCTCGGTAACATCGCTGCAAACAGTGTGGGCGCAGCCATTACAAGAATTTTGAAATTTGCCCTCTAACCCCAAATGTAGTAACGTTCATACTTGTGTTTATGTCTTTGGGAATGCCATCACAGTTGATTTTGAAAAGGTTTATGATTGACCATGTTTTCCAGCTGAATTTACTTTTTTGTTTGTATAATCAGATTGGTTCGAGGTTGCAGACTAACGGAAAATCACTTAACTTCCCCGTTACATTCTTACTATACCAATTACATGATGGTTGGAATGAAATAGAAATTAAAACTGACAAACAAAGAAAATAATTAAGCTGGGTTAAAAGCATTATGCGTCATGGCAGTCATCACTTGTTTGTAAACATAACGGTCCGTTTGTTGCGAGTTCAACTCCAAGCATGGTTGTGGTCATCTATCACAGTGTGGAGTTTTGACTGGTGGCGGCGATAGTATAGAGAGCTCCGCGAACGGTCTATCACTGTGAGGAGCTTGTGCCCGAAATTATGATTGTGGGTTCGAATCCCAGTTCGCCCCGATTATGTTTGCAGGTTTGTCAGCGCCATACCCGAGCCCGACCACTCGATCCACTAAGTCGCTTCTTAGACCTGCATGGGTTGCTAGGGAAGCTAAGGGAACTATAGACCTGCATGGGTTACTAGGGAAGCTAAGGGAACTGTAGACCTGCATGGGTTGCTAGGGAAGCTAAGGGAACTATCCTAACCAGAAATCCTACTTGTCAAAGTAGAATGAATGACTTGTGAGTGAAATATATTCTGGAAATAACGGGAGTACTGCACCTTACCGGGTGCACTTTAAAAAATTTCATTTAGCGGAGGATCGAACTCGCGTTGCCGGTTTCAATCTAAGCTGGCTAAATGAATTACACAACTAATCAGTGCGCGTATACCTCGTGATCAGCACCCGATTGTTTAACTTGCAATTGATGCGCATGCGCGGTAGCCATTTTTCTTCGCGAAACTCAAAATGTGATCGAATATGCACGCGAGATATGAGAAGCGAAAGGCACAGCCGTTCTGTCCTGTTACAATTCCTCCTGTGGAATACAATTTTATCCCTGACAGCCGATAAGTTTTCAAAGAGATGCTAAAGATCCAAAAGACTGATTAAACATGATTAAATTCAGAAATATTTCGGAGAATGAAATATTCAAATTGTCACTCAACTACACCCCTGAAATAATCCTATTTAACAATATACAGGACATAATATATATATATGTACAACAAACGTTGTCAGATTTTTACCCGTCTTTAAAGAAGGAGGGCGAGATTTAGCACTTTAGCATTCAGTCCCCGCAAGGAAAAACTCAGGAAGACGAGGATCATGACACAGGACAAGATGGGATTCTGCAGGAGCAAACGACGTCAACAGGGGCTCGCTTGGATGGACGAAAACGAGTTGTTGGAAAGTCGTAATCTACAGAAGCCTTTTAAGGCCATTTTGTTTTTTTATTTCCTTCTTGAAATTTCAAGATACTAACTTGAAATTTCAGTGTTGAAACAATAAGTAGAAATTTCAGGATCATTATCTTGAAATTTAAACTTATGTATCTTGAAATTTCAAGAAAAAAAGTAAACACAAATGGCCCTAAAAGGCTTTCGTACTATTCAGACTGTGACCTGCATCTTTAAACTGCTGGACCAACGCGTGCCATGACCTGGATCGGTCGCTTAAAAAAAGGACGTATCGTTTCTGTGTGAGGGTTTCTCTCCCTAATTGGGAGACTCGGATACATATGGAGCATTTTATAATTAAAGATACGTATATGATATGTTACATAAAACACAAATGGTGTAACAATATATGCAACATAACTGACGTCTATTGTCATCTCGTGTAAAAAATGCAAAAAAAATGGCGATCACATTGAGATGTTTTTTTTCTGACATTTCCTCGCATATCCAATTTTCGAACAGTTTAAACGATATTGCTGATATATCGAGGGATGAAATGATCAAAATTTAGATTCGTGGTAATACCTACAGGTGAAGTCTTCTATAAAATTCAGCTTTATTCCGACTGGAAAAGTTGTCTCCGGTGAAAGGCGTTCCCCACCAGTGCTTCGTCTGTAAACTTTTGCTACGCTCGAGCTGCGTCAGCTGTTTTCGTACACCTGATAGGTTGGTATTTTTTTGTGCGGGGTTGCCTCAACCAAGTCAGCGAGCCTGACCACCCAATCCCGTTAGTCGCCCATACGACAAGCATATTTGCCTTTTACGGCAAGCATGGGTTGCTGAAGACCTATTCTACCCCGGAGCTTCACAGGTCCACAAAATATGAAGAATTGTCAAATCATAAGATATTTTATTCCATTATCCCAGGGGTAAATTATAACCGTGTACAGTAGACTACGGTTAAAACGAACACGCTTATAACGAACTGGCGGATATAACGAACTTACATTTTGGTCCCGACTATTTGCTGTAGTTATGCTGCATATATGCTTATAACGAACTACGGTTATAACGAACTAAAATTAGTAGTCCCTTTGAGTTCGTTATAACCGTAGTTTACTGTACATATTTCTGATATTCGCACAGTGAGCACATGTCACTCTCAGTTATTCTAGACATTTGATTGGCTGATTCTGGGAGAATTCACCATGTGAGGCGCAGTGTTTTTTTATACGATAAACAACGACCACGAGTTGTTTATTTCTTATATGAGACATTGACATTTTGTACAACCCCTTTAAAGATGCTAATATTATACACAAGCTTTTACAAAATATTTGCTCGTATTTAAATAAGGACGACTCCCTGAATATAATCCGACATTGGAAATATCGGACAAGTCTGTTTTATGAACAGGGGGGTTACGTTCGGTATTTCCCGAACTATAAGTACGTGTATAGGACCAAGTATATACTATACTGTAAACTACGGTTATCACGAACACGCTTATAACGAACTGACGGATATAACGAACTTACTTTTTTGGTCCGGACTCTATGCCGTAGTTATGCTGTTTATATGCTTATAACGAACTACGGTTATAACGAACTAAAATAAGTAGTCCCTTTGAGTTCGGTATAACCGTAGTTTACTGTAACTCTAGTGTGAATCTAGGGAGCCTATAAATATTAAAATTTCTAATCAGTGATAGAAGTGCAACTGTTAAACTATTTTTTTAAATGATAACTTTTCTTTAGAATGTTTTTTCTCCATTTTCTCAGTATCATGGGTCAGAGGATCTGTAAACTAGATAAATAAATAGAGGCATCGTATTTTGCAGTGTCCCCAGCACCCTATGCATGCTGGTGTAACTGTGTTCTTAATATATAGAGGTTATCACGCGAGTGTGTCTGAGGATGGTAAATATCCTGCATTAGGAATAAACATTGTATTTAGCGAGCCTTGGCAGTTTCTTATACATTGGCGAAGCAACATATATACGCAAAATAACAATTGTTTTTAATTGCCTTTCGCGGCAATCCATCGGTCTGTCCGCTAGAGTAACTGCCCTTTGTCAAAGGGAAGCTACTCTAACCCTAGTCTATGAGACGTCACGGGCACGGTCGGACGTTGTTGACAGTCGGTCGGTCCTGCCATAACGTTAAGAAGTGTAGTCAGATGTACACACAGCGACAAAACGAAACAAGGTAACAATTCAAACATATTTCGGCCAAATCCAACAATTTTAATTTGTGGAGAAGGTTTCAAGCCGCAGAGGTCTACAAGCACAGATATGGCTACTGATCCCGCTTGGCTAGGCCTCGTGCCCTCGCAAAATTGTTTCGAAATGTATATCTCCAAAGTTGCCAAAACTTATAAAATGCCTTAGCTACGTCACAGTTAGACACTGATTTTCAGTATATTAGACTGTTCTTTTGATAATGATAGCAGTTATCCCTGTAGTTTATCCAGATTCCCGATGGTTAATTCTGACTCGATTGCCGAATAAGAGGGCGACGCCACGTTTGTTTATAAACAGTGAAAGTAGTCCCTACTTGACCTTTGATATTTGCATCTCAATCCGCATATGACCCCAACGGATATCGTTTTTTTATCCGTTGGCTTTATCCTGCCAGGAAACCAGCCCATGTAAGATAAAGGTATTTATTTGCTAAGGCTTGTACACTGCACCTCTCAATGGAAAGGTTCTCGTCCGTGTCCCTGAGATGAGGTGTTGTATTTATGTTTAAGTGATAGTGCATGTTTAACTTGATAAAGTCAAATATGTTTTATCTATAGGGACATACGTAAGGATCGGATGTATGGATGAACAACTTCTTTATTATCCCCCGCCCAACGAAGTTGGCGGGGAATATAGAAACGGGCTCCGCCCGTCCGTCCGTCCGTCCGTCCGTACTTCCGTCACGTTTCGTTTCCGGAGCATGTACATGTACCCATATGTATTGTTGAGCGCCTGTACCGTACACGTACCCGTATGTAATGTTGAGCGCCTGTACCGTACACGTACCCGTATGTATTGTTGAGCGCCTGTACCGTACACGTACCCGTATATAAGGTTGAGCGCCTGTACCGTACACGTACCCGTATGTAATGTTGAGCACCTGTACCGTACACGTACCCATATGTAATGTTGAGCGCCTGTACCGTACACCAACCCGTATATAAGGTTGAGCGCCTGTACCGTACACGTACCCGTATGTAATGTTGAGCGCCTGTACCGTACACGTACCCGTATATAAGGTTGAGTGCCTGTACCGTACACGTACTCGTATGTAATGTTGAGCACCTGTACCGTACACGTACCCGTATGTAATGTTGAGCGCCTGTACCGTACACGTACTCGTATGTAATGTTGAGCACCTGTACCGTACACGTACCCGTATGTAATGTTGAGCGCCTGTACCGTACCCGTACCCGTATGTAATGTTCAGCACCTGTACCGTACACGTACTCGTATGTAATGTTGAGCGCCTGTACCGTACACGTACTCGTATGTAATGTTGAGCACCTGTACCGTACACGTACCCGTATGTAATTTTGAGCACCTGTACCGTACACGTACCCGTATGTAATGTTGAGCACCTGTACCGTACCCGTACCCGTATGTAATGTTGAGCACCTGTACCGTACACGTACTCGTATGTAATGTTGAGCGCCTGTACCGTACACGTACCTGTATGTAATGTTGAGCGCCAGTACCGTACACGTACTCGTATGTAATGTTGAGCACCTGTACCGTACACGTACCCGTATGTAATTTTGAGCACCTGTACCGTACACGTACCCGTATGTAATCTTGAGCACCTGTACCGTACCCGTACCCGTATGTAATGTTGAGCACCTGTACCGTACACGTACCCGTATGTAATGTTGAGCACCTGTACCGTACAAGTACCCGTATGTAATGTTGAGTAACTGTACCGTACCCGTACCTGTATGTAATGTTGAGCGCCTGTACCGTACACGTACTCGTATGTAATGTTGAGCACCTGTACCGTACACGTACCCGTATATAATGTTGAGCGCCTGTACCGTACCCGTACTCGTATGTAATGTTGAGCGCCTGTACCGTACCCGTACTCGTATGAAATGTTGAGCGCCTGTACCGTACACGTACTCGTATGTAATGTTGAGCGCCTGTACCGTACACGTACCCGTATGTAAAGTTGAGCACCTGTACCGTACAGGTACCCGTATGTAATGTTGAGCGCCTGTACCGTACACGTACTCGTTTGTAATGTTGAGCGCTTGTACCGTACACGTACCCGTATATAAGGTTGAGCGCCTGTACCGTACATGTACCCGTATGTAATGTTGAGCGCCTGTACCGTACACGTACTCGTATGTAATGTTGAGCGGCTGTACCGTACACGTACCCGTATATAAGGTTGACCGCCTGTACCGTACACGTACCCGTATGTAATGTTGAGCACCTGTACCGTACACGTACCCGTATGTAATGTTGAGCGCCTGTACCGTACACGTACCCGTATGTAATGTTGAGCACCTGTACCGTACCCGTACCCATATGTAAGGTTGAGCCCTTGTACCGTACACGTACCCGTATGTAATGTTGAGCACCTGGACCGTACACGTACCCGTATGTAATGTTGAGCACCTGTACCGTACACGTACTCGTATGTATTGTTGAGCGCCTGTACCGTACACGTACCTGTATGTAAGGTTGAGCGCCTGTGCCGTACACGTACCCGTATGTATTGTTGAACACCTGTACCGTACACGTACCCGTATGTAATGTTGAGCGCCTGTACCGTACACGTACCCGTACCCGTATGTATTGTTGAGCACCTGTACCGTACACGTACTCGTATGTATTGTTGAGCACCTGTACCGTACACGTACCCGTATGTAAGGTTGAGCGCCTGTACTGTACACGTACCCGTATGTATTGTTGAGCACCTGTACCGTACACGTACTCGTATGTATTGTTGAGCACCTGTACCGTACACGTACCTGTATATAAGGTTGAGCGCCTGTACCGTACACGTACTCGTATGTATTGTTGAGCGCCTGTACCGTACACGTACTCGTTTGTAATGTTGAGCGCCTGTACCGTACACGTACTCGTATGTATTGTTGAGCACCTGAACCGTACACGTACTCGTATGTATTGTTGAGCGCCTGTACCGTACACGTACTCGTTTGGAATGTTGAGCGCCTGTACCGTACACGTACCCGTATGTATTGTTGAGCGCCTGTACCGTACACGTACTCGTATGTATTGTTGAGCACCTGTACCGTACACGTACTCGTATGTATTGTTGAGCGCCTGTACCGTACACGTACCCGTATGTATTGTTGAGCACCTGTACCGTACACGTACTCGTATGTATTGTTGAGCACCTGTACCGTACACGTACTCGTATGTAAGGTTGAGCGCCTGTACCGTACACGTACCCGTATGTATTGTTGAGCACCTGTACCGTACACATACCCGTATGTAATGTTGAGCACCTGTACCGTACACGTACTCGTATGTATTGTTCAGCACCTGTACCGTACACATACCCGTATGTAATGTTGAGCACCTGTACCGTACACGTACCCGTATGTAAGGTTGAGCACCTGTACCGTACATGTACTCGTATGTATTGTTGAGCACCTGTACCGTACACGTACTCGTATGTAATGTTGAGCGCCTGTACCGTACACGTACCCGTAAGTAAGGGTTGAGCGCCTGTACCGTACACATACCCGTATGTAAGGTTGAGCACCTGTACCGTACATGTACTCGTATGTATTGTTGAGCACCTGTACCGTACACGTACTCGTATGTATTGTTGAGCGCCTGTACCGTACACGTACCCGTAAGTAAGGTTGAGCGCCTGTACTGTACACGTACCCGTATGTCAAGTTTAGCGCCTGTACCGTGCACGTACCCGTTTTTCAGGTTAAGCGCCTATACTGTACACATACCCGTATGTTAGGTTAAGCGCCTATACTGTACACACACCCGTATGTCAGGTTAAGCGCCTATACTGTACACACACCCGTATGTCAGGTTAAGCGCCTATACTGTACACACACCCGTATGTCAGGTTAAGCGCCTATACTGTACACACACCCGTTTTTCAGGTTAAGCGCCTATACTGTACACATACCCGTATGTTAGGTTAAGCGCTTATACTGTACACACACCCGTATGTCAGGTTAAGCGCCTATACTGTACACACTTCCGTATGTCAGGTTAAGCGCCTATACTGTACACACACCCGTATGTCAGGTTAAGCGCCTATACTGTACACACACCCGTATGTCAGGTTAAGCGCCTATACTGTACACGCACCCGTATGTAAGGTTAAGCGCCTATACTGTACACACACCCGTATGTCAGGTTAAGCACCTATACTGTACACACACCCGTATGTCAGGTTAAGCGCCTATACTGCACACGCACCCGTATGTCAGGTTAAGCGCCTATACTGTACACGCACCCATATGTAAGGTTAAGCGCCTATACTGTACACATACCCGAATGTCAGGTTAAGCGCCTATACTGTACACGTATCCGTTGTAAGGTTAAGCGCCTATACTGTACACACACCCGTATGTCAGGTTAAGCGCCTATACTGTACACACACCCGTATGTCAGGTTAAGCGCTCTTACTGTACACACACCCGTATGTCAGGTTAAGCGCCTATACTGTACACACACCCGTATGTAAGGTTAAGCGCCTATACTGTACACACACCCGTATGTCAGGTTAAGCGCCTATACTGTACACGTACCCGTTTTTCAGGTTAAGCGCCTATACTGTACACACACCCGTATGTCAGGTTAAGCGCCTTTACTGTACACGCACCCGTATGTCAGGTTAAGCGCCTATACTGTACACACACCCGTATGTCAGGTTAAGCGCCTATACTGTACACACACCCGTATGTCAGGTTAAGCGCCTATACTGTACACACACCCGTATGTCAGGTTAAGCGCTCTTACTGTACACGTACCCGTATGTCAGGTTAAGCGCCTATACTGTACACACACCCGTTTTTCAGGTTAAGCGCCTATACTGTACACATACCCGTATGTTAGGTTAAGCGCCTATACTGTACACGTACCCGTATGTCAGGTTAAGCGCCTATACTGTACACGTACCCGTATGTCAGGTTAAGCGCCTATACTGTACACACACCCGTATTTCAGGTTAAGCGCCTATACTGTACACATACCCGTATGTTAGGTTAAGCGCCTATACTGTACACACACCCGTATTTCAGGTTAAGCGCCTATACTGTACACACACCCGTATGTCAGGTTAAGCGCCTATACTGTACACACACCCGTATGTCAGGTTAAGCGCCTATACTGTACACACACCCGTATGTCAGGTTAAGCGCCTATACTGTACACGTACCCGTATGTCAGGTTAAGCGCCTATACTGTACACACACCCGTATGTCAGGTTAAGCGCCTATACTGTACACACACCGTATGTAAGGTTAAGCGCCTATACTGTACACACACCCGTATGTCAGGTTAAGCGCCTATACTGTACACACACCCGTATGTCAGGTTAAGCGCCTAAACTGTACACGCACCCGTATGTTAGGTTAAGCGCCTATACTGTACACGTACCCGTTTTTCAGGTTAAGCGCCTATACTGTACACATACCCGTATGTCAGGTTAAGCGCCTATACTGTACACACACCCGTATGTCAGGTTAAGCGCCTATACTGTACACACACCCATATGTCAGGTTAAGCGCCTATACTGTACACGCACCGTATGTAAGGTTAAGCGCCTATACTGTACACACACCCGTATGTCAGGTTAAGCGCCTATACTGTACACACACCCGTATGTCAGGTTAAGCGCCTATACTGTACACGCACCCGTATGTTAGGTTAAGCGCCTATACTGTACACGTACCCGTTTTTCAGGTTAAGCGCCTATACTGTACACATACTCGTATGTCAGGTTAAGCGCCTATACTGTACACACACCCGTATGTCAGGTTAAGCGCCTGTACTGTACACACACCCGTATGTCAGGTTAAGCGCCTATACTGTACACACACCCGTATGTCAGGTTAAGCGCCTATACTGTACACGTACCAGTATGTCAGGTTTAAGCGCCTATACTGTACACACACCCGTATGTCAGGTTAAGCGCCTATACTGTACACACACCCGTATGTCAGGTTAAGCGCCTATACTGTACACACACCCGTATGTCAGGTTAAGCGCCTATACTGTACACACACCCGTATGTCAGGTTAAGCGCCTATACTGTACACACACCCGTATGTCAGGTTAAGCGCCTGTACTGTACACACACCCGTATGTCAGGTTAAGCGCCTATACTGTACACACACCCGTATGTCAGGTTAAGCGCCTATACTGTACACACACCCGTATGTCAGGTTAAGCGCCTATACTGTACACACACCCGTATGTCAGGTTAAGCGCCTATACTGTACACGCACCCGTATGTCAGGTTAAGCGCCTATACTGTACACACACCCGTATGTCAGGTTAAGCACCTATACTGTACACACACCCGTATGTCAGGTTAAGCGCCTATACTGCACACGCACCCGTATGTCAGGTTAAGCGCCTATACTGTACACACACCCGTATGTCAGGTTAAGCGCCTATACTGTACACACACCCGTATGTCAGGTTAAGCGCCTATACTGTACACACACCCGTATGTCAGGTTAAGCGCCTATACTGTACACACACCCGTATGTCAGGTTAAGCGCCTATACTGTACACACACCCGTATGTCAGGTTAAGCGCCTGTACTGTACACACACCCGTATGTCAGGTTAAGCGCCTATACTGTACACACACCCGTATGTCAGGTTAAGCGCCTATACTGTACACACACCCGTATGTCAGGTTAAGCGCCTATACTGTACACACACCCGTATGTCAGGTTAAGCGCCTATACTGTACACACACCCGTATGTCAGGTTAAGCGCCTGTACTGTACACACACCCGTATGTCAGGTTAAGCGCCTATACTGTACACGCACCTGAATATGACTTGCTTTAAGTACATTAGCATTACATATCCTTCATAAAACCAGTTAAAGTGACCAAGGTGTCTGTACAGAGTTGCGTCCCTTAGTCGAGGCAGAATCCAGTGGTCGAAGGTTCGAATCCCTGATTCGTCAGGGTTATTATTGGCTTGTCAACAACCTACCCATCGGTTTCACGACAGATAGGAACTGCATCGCTGTGATCGTAGACTTTGATCTAATCTCATATTCTCTCTGAGGAAGGTCACTTCGGGGTGGTGGTGTAGGCTAGTGGTTAAAGCGTCATGTCGAAGCCCCGGGTTCGATTCCGCACGTGGGTACAGTGTGTGAAGCCCATTTCTGGTATCCCCCCTGACACCGCCCCCGGTGTGTGTGTGTGTGTGTGTGTGTGTGTGTGTGTGTGTGTGTGTGTGTGTGTGTGTGTGTGTGTGTGTGTGTGTGTGTGTGTGTGTGTGTGTGTGAGAGAGAGAGTGTTTGTGTGTGTCTGTCTGTGTGTGTGTGTGTGTCTATCTGTCTGTCTGTGTGTCTCTGTGTGTGTGTCTGTCTGTGTGTGTGTGGGTGTGTGTGTGTCTGTCTGTCTGTGTGTGTGTATGTCTGTCTGCCTGTCTGTCTGTTTGTGTGTGTGAGAGAGAGAGAGAGAGAGAGAGTGTGTGTGTGTGTGTGTGTGTGTGTGTGTGTGTGTGTGTGTGTGTGTGTGTGTGTGTGGCTGCTTGTACTAGTCCGGGCTGATGCCGATTTATAGTGCTAGCATACTGAGATGCCATGCCGCAGTTTAACATTAATACCCCACTCAGACACAGTATACTGACTCCGAGCCGACCAGTCCTTGTTTTAGCCCCTTAATGCCCAGCGCCAGACAGGGTAACAACAAGTACCATCTCTTACGTCTTTTGGCATGACGCGGGTGGGGATCGAACCCCGACGTTCCTCTCACCGGGCAGACGCTCTACCACTAGACCATGGAAGCGGTCTCACTTTAGAACGCTGTTTAAATAACCTTTGATTTATTCAACCAACTTGACGGTATCATCACATTCAAGAGAACAACTACCAAGTCATAACAAAGGGCTTCAGGAGATCCACCTTCAGTCGCGTCACCGAAAGAGCCTGAAAAGTAATGATAACCATTAATAATTACTGGTCCTAAACTCGGAGTGTTAGAATTGTTACGAGTGGAGCCACTATACAGTCTCCTTACATAGTGAGTGAGTGAGTGAGTGAGTGAGTGAGTGAATTTGGTTTAACGCCGCTTTTAACAGTATTCCAGTTATATCAAGGCGTGTCAGCTTAATGTGGGAGGAAAGCCTGAAGTGATGCAGGTCTCAGACGTTTACCACTTCGGTGAAACCCACGAGCACGGGTATGATGCTGACAAACCTAGAAACATAATCGGGACGAACCGGGATTCGAACCAATAATCATAGGTTTCTGGCGTGCCCAAGAGACGCAACTCTGCACAGCGAATCGCGGCGCTTTAGACGAGGGGGGAGGGGGGAAGTGCTTTTATAACTGCTTATTATTGATTGATTGACTGATTGTTTAACGCCGCACTCAGCATCACTCCAGCTATATGACGGCGGTCTGTATATAATCGTGTCTGGACAATCCAGACAATCCAGTGATTGACATCATGAGCATCGATCTACGCAATTGGGAAACGACGACATGCATCAACCAAGTCAGCGAGCCTGATCACACGATTCTGTTAGCCGATTCTTACAACAAGCATGGGTTTCTGAAGACCAGTTCTACCCCGGATCAACACAGGTTAACTGCTTAAGAATCTCCAGTGACATTATCCATTGTATGAACACAAAAAGCATTCTTCCCATCCTCGTGGATGAAGTGTATTCTTTTACGCTGAAACATGCTTCGGAGGTTTGGGTTGAAAACAAACAAACCCGGACAGGGTTAGTCCGTCGCCGATGGTTTACATTTACTACCAAAATCTCAGAGAAGTTATTTCTCTGACTTATATACCGTCGATACAACAATTATTAATATTTGTTTGATATTATGAATAAAAGTGCGTTGCGATAGTCTAAAGAAACGCTCGTAAAATATATCTGATTATAGAACGGTTGGTTGGTTGGTTGGTTTGTTGTTTAACGCCGCACTCAGCAATATTCCAGATATATGACGGCGGTCTGTAAATAATCGAGTCTGGACCAGACAATCCAGTGATTGATATCATGAGCATCGATCCACGCAATTGGGATCGATGAGATAATAGAATGGTCACCTTTGTGTGAGAGTCGTAGGAGTGAGCCACGCCCATACCGTTGACTCTGACAGTTGAAGGCGCTGCTGCCACACCGTACACGTTGATGCTCCCTAACGTCATTGTCGTGGCGTAGTTGCTGGACTTGATAGTGGACGTCAGACGCTCCTGCAACAAGGGACACGCGTTGATATTAGGGAAGATAAAATGTAAAAATGAAAAAAATGTTGCTGAATGTTGTGTTAAGTTTGTTTTTTCGGTTTATAAGTTAGATAAAACATTCCCCCCTCGGTGTTTTATGATTTTTAAAACTTTTATCCTGCGGGGGAGGGTTTTAAAAATCGTAAAACCCCTCGGATGTGCTTTATCGTATAGGGGGCACGGGTGGTCCAGTCGTCTAAGGCGCCGCGATTCGCTGTCCCTTGGGCACGCCAGAAACCTATGATTGTGGGTTCGAATCCCGGTTCGCCTCGATTATGTTTCTAGGTTTGTCAGCATCATACCCGTGCTCGTGGGTTTCACCGAAGTGGTAAATGTCTGAGACCTGCATCACTTCGGGCTTTCCTCCTACATTAAGCTGACACGCCGCGATATAACTGAAATACTGTTAAAAGCGGCGTTAAACCCAACTCACTCACTCACTTTATCGTACACTTGTAAACTAGTGACATCAACGCCGTACGTCAGGTTTGCTTGCCTGCATATCAAGACCAGATATATAACTGGTTCACGGTTCAATGCAACATTACAGACAGCCACCGTGCCATCCTCTTCATCCTTCATCCCACAACGAAATAACAAACTCCCGGGATATTATATTTTTAGGATCACTGGGTTTGTAGGGGCGGTCGGGTAGCCTTGTGGTTAAAACGTTCACTCTTCACACCGAAGACCTGAGTTCGATTCCCGACGTGGGTACAATGTGTGAAGCCCATTTCTGGTGTCCCCCGCCGTGATATTGCTGGAATTTTGCTAAAAGCGGCGTAAATCCATACTCACTCACTCACTACCTTTGAGGTATTTCTTTGGAAGAGTTTTATAACTGCATATTATTGATTAATTGATTTAGCCTTGTGGTTAAAGAGTTCGCTCGTTACGCCGAAGTACCGGGTTCGACATTTCCGCATTGGTAACTCTGTATGAAGCCAATTTCTTGTGTCCCTCGCCGTGATATCGCTGGAATATTGCTAAAAGCGGCGTAACACCATACTCACTCACTCCTCTTCGTATACTTTCTGGTGTCCCCGCCGTGATATCGCTGGAATATTGCTACAAGCGGCGTAAAACCATACTCACGGGGTCTTTCACAAAAGTCCTAACCTACAGTTGTCATTATGACGTATTTGGGTCACGAGTTACTTTAGATCTTCCAGCCTTTGTCTATCGCTCGATGGCTTCCTCTAAACCAGAATTACTCGCAGTGGTGTAGTGTTAAATACATACCCCGTCCAGATTGAATTGGATATTGTTAAACGGTGCATCTGGAAATAAATATATAGCGTTAAGGATCTTTGCTTTGAAAATTTGTTCCAATTTATATTTATATTTTTAGTTTCCGTATATGACAGAAGTCGGAAGCCAGATATGGAGTGGCGGACCAATGGGCTGATTACAGGCTGCAATACACTATACTAGATCTCCATGTGGTTAAATCATATGAGGGTTAATAGAAATTATATGTATATATCTGCAGTTATTGCTAGAAAGGGGCGGTCGGGAAGCCTAGTGGTTAAAGCGTTCGCTCGTCACGCCGAAAACCCGGGTTCGAATCCCGACATGGGTACAATGTGTGAAGCCCATTTCTGGTGTCCCCCGCCGTGATATTGCTGGAATATTGCTAAAAGCGGCGTACAACCATACTCACTTACTATTGCTAGAAAAACGTAAACATATATATAGAGTGCTCAACAGTTTGAAGGAATCGCAGTTAGCTAAGTTGCGTCCCTTTCTCGAGCCCGGATCTGGTGATCGTGGATTCCAATATCGTTCAGATTTTTGGGCAGCAAAATTCACCTAAGATTCGGGTTAGAACGTATCTTCAGCAACTCACGCTTGTCGTAAGATGCGACTAACGGGATCGGGTGGTCAGGCTCGCTGACTTGGTTGATGCATGTAATCGTATCCCAATTCCTTAGATCGATGCTCATGATGTAAATCACTGGATTGTCTGGTCCAGACTCGATTATTTAAGACCGCCGTCATATAGCTGGAATATTGTTGAAAGCAGCGTTAAACAACAAACAAACAAACAATCAAGCATACTTCACCTAAGGTATCTCCGTCGTCCCAATACAGGAAGCCTTGAGCTGTCCTAGAGCCCGACGGCGCCACCACCAGACCGAAGTCATTGTGTCGGCTTGCAGTTGGAAGAAAGAAGGAAACAAACAAACAAGCTGATCACACACAGGTAAAGATATGTATAGTGAGGTACTAGACCAGTGAACATCCGGGGTAGAATAGGTCTTCAGCAACCCATGCTTGTCGTAAAAGGCGACAAATGGAATCGGCTGGTCAGGCTCGCTGACTTGGTTGATGCTTTTCATCGATCCCAATTGCGTGGATCGATGCTCACGATGTCAACCACTGGATCGCCTTGTCGAGACTCGATTATTTACAGACCGCCGTCACATAGCTGGACTATTGCTGAGTGCGGCGTTAAACAACACATACTAAAGACAAAAAAACATAAGGAGAAAAAGCATTCACTGAACATGTTCTGAATTGTGTTTTAGATCCCACATATTTGTGGCTATTCCTTTCAAAGTAAATATTGCTTGAGTTTAGGGCTGGGACGGGTAACTCGGGTACCCGGATCGGGTGGGTAGGGACCCGGGTACCCACAGGACTACCCGGACTCGTGGTTAGTCACGTGATATATTGTCTAATGACTAAAAATATCTGGAACTCTATGGTTACACTACAAGTCACTAATGTTCGCTTTTCCTTCTGACTGTGCACCCATTCCTTCTGATTTTTCATATGGTTGAATAAAGATATAACTTAATTCAACTTCAGTGTATGCATGACCAGATCGTTTAATACATGTAAATACGTTTTGCCAGGGCTATGCTAAAAATATTCCCAATCGGACATGTTGCTACATCGGGCAACTGTGTATTACTGTAGGCCTACCTCTGTGTATTACCATCGGGCAACTGTGCATCACTGTACGCCTACCTCTGTGTATTACCATCGGGCAACTGTGCATCACTGTACGCCTACCTCTGTGTATTATCATCGGGCAACTGTGCATTACTGTAGGCCTATCTCTGTGTATTAACATCGGGCAATTGTGCATTACTGTAGGCCTATCTCTGTGTATTACCATCGGGCAACTGTGCATTACTGTAGGCCTATCTCTGTGAATTACCATCGGGCAACTGTGCATTACTGTAGGCCTATCTCTGTGTATTAACATCGGGCAACTGTGCATTACTGTAGGCCTATCTCTGTGTATTAACATCGGGCAACTGTGCATTACTGTAGGCCTATCTCTGTGTATTAACATCGAGCAACTGTGCATCACTGTAGGCCTATCTCTGTGTTCACATCGGGCAACAGTGTATCACTGTCGGCCTACCTCTTCTCCGTGGTCACATCGGGGAACTGTGTATTACTGTCGGCCTACCTCTTCTCCGTGGTCACATCGGGCAACTGTGTATTACTGTAGGCCTACCTCTGTGTATTACCATCGGGCAACTGTGCATCACTGTACGCCTATCTCTGTGTATTACCATCGTGCAACTGTTTATTACTGTAGGCCTACCTCTGTGTATAAACATCGGACACCTGTTTCACTGTAGGCCTACCTCTGTGTATTAACATCGGGCAACTGTGAATCACTTTAGGCCTACCTCCTGTCCGTGGTCACATCGGGCACCTGTGTCGGGACAAGGTACTTCTGTGTATTAAGATCGGGCACCTGTGTATGACTGAAGTCCTACCTCTTCTCTGTCGTCACATCGGGCACCTGTGTCGCGACAATGTACCTCTGTGCATTAAAATCGGGCACCTGTGTATTACTGAAGGCCTACCTCTGAGTATTAACATCGGGAAACAGTGTATCACTGGATGCCTACCTCTTCTCTGTCGTCACATCGGGCACCTGTGTCGCGACAATGTACCTCTGTGCATTAAAATCGGGCACCTGTGTATTACTGTACGCCTATCTCTGTGTATTACCATCGTGCAACTGTTTATTACTGTAGGCCTACCTCTGTGTATAAACATCGGACACCTGTTTCACTGTAGGCCTACCTCTGTGTATTAACATCGGGCAACTGTGAATCACTTTAGGCCTACCTCCTGTCCGTGGTCACATCGGGCACCTGTGTCGGGACAAGGTACTTCTGTGTATTAAGATCGGGCACCTGTGTATGACTGAAGTCCTACCTCTTCTCTGTCGTCACATCGGGCACCTGTGTCGCGACAATGTACCTCTGTGCATTAAAATCGGGCACCTGTGTATTACTGAAGGCCTACCTCTGAGTATTAACATCAAGAAATAGTGTATCACTGGAGGCTTACCTCTTCTCTGTGTTCACATCGGGCACCTGTGTCGCGACAATGTACCTCTGTGCATTAAAATCGGGCACCTGTTTATTACTGAAGGCCTACCTCTGAGTATTAACATCGGGAAACAGTGTATCACTGGATGCTTACCTCTTCTCTGTGGTCACATCGGGCAACAGTGTAATACTGAAGGCCTACCTCTGAGTATTAACATCGGGAAACAGTGTATCACTGGATGCCTACCTCTTCTCTGTGGTCACATCGGGCAACAGTGTAATACTGAAGGCCTACCTCTGAGTATTAACATCGGGAAACAGTGTATCACTGGATGCCTACCTCTTCTCTGTGGTCACATCGGGCAACAGTGTAATACTGAAGGCCTACCTCTGAGTATTAACATCGGGAAACAGTTTATCACTGGATGCCTACCTCTTCTCTGTGGTCACATCGGGCAACAGTGTAATACTGAAGGCCTACCACTGAGTATTAACATCGGGAAACAGTGTATCACTGGATGCCTACCTCTTCTCTGTGGTCACATCGGGCAACAGTGTAATACTGAAGGCCTACCTCTGAGTATTAACATCGGGAAACAGTGTATCACTGGATGCCTACCTCTTCTCTGTGGTCACATCGGGCACCTGTGTCGGGACAATGCTGCCTCCTCTGACGTGGACATTGATCTTGTCCAGCGGTGCACTGATAACTGACCATTGCCCTGTTTTGGACACTTCCGCCCCAGTGAAGAAATCGTACCACGTGTCTTTAGGAAAATAGGCGTTCACTGTTCTGTTCCCCTGTATATGTAAGACGCAAAACTTTTCAAAACAAATGTTGTCATGGGATATTTGAAAATTAGAATGGCTTCATAGAAAAGGAGTGAGTGAGTATGGTTTTACGCCGCTTTTAGCAATATTCCAGCAATATCACGGCGGGGGACACCAGAAATGGGCTTCACACATTGTACCCATGTCGGGAATCGAACCCGGGTGTTCGGCGTGACGAGCGAACGCTTTAACCACTAGGCTACCAGACCGCCCCCATAGAAAAGGATGTTATGGAGGAAATTGTTATTATTCAAGAAATACATAAATGTTGATATATTAGTTCCAAGTTTGGTGAGTGATTTGTATTGAACGCCGCTTTTAGCAATTCCAGCAATATCACGGCGGGGAACACCAGAAATTGGTTTCACATTGTACCCATCATGCGTTATATTTAGTGATCATTAGCCGAATGTGTTTTTGTATCGTATTAATTATTAATAAGACATAAATATTGTATTGTGTGTGCCTTTGGCATATATTTGGCATATTTTAGATTCCTAATATATGAAATATATATACGATACAGAAACACAATATCTTCTTCACATAAGGTCATTTTTAAAATAATGGATGTTTAAGATGTATTTTCACTGAGTGAAGTAGCTTCAGAAAACGTCCATGCGTACAATATTTTAGTGAACAGTCAAATGTGTGATATAGTGTCAAATGATCCGCAGCCATGTTTGACGCCATGTTTCGGCGACACATGAGGGAACCCTATCTAAGCATATTGGGAACGTTAGTCAATATTTTATTGAGACAGAAGGCATCACGTTAATATATGCGGAGCTTGAAAGTAGTTCCTGCTAGGCCACATATTTACCATGATACCAAGTGTAACATATTGGTTTATTGCATCATAACACACACCTTTATAAGATGAATAAGATTAGGTGAAATTGGGTTTAACGTCGTGTCCAAGATTATTGCACTTATATAGCGACGTGCATGTACGTGTGTGTGTGTGTGGCTGCTTGCACTAGTCCGGACTGATGCCGATTTATAGAACTAGCTCACTGAAATACCATTTTAAGCGTAAAACAATACTCACTCACTCCTCTTCGTATTCTTTCTGGTGTCCCGCCGTGATATCGCTGGAATATTGCTAAAAGCGGCGTAAAACAATACTTACTCACTCCTCTTCGTATACTTTCTGGTGTCACCCGCCGTGATATCGCTGGAATATTGCTTAAAGCGGCGTAAAACCATACTCATTTACTCTTCTTCGTATACTTTCTGGTATCCCCGCCGTGATATCGCTGGAATATTGCTAAAAGCGGCGTAAAACCATACTCATTTACTCTTCTTCGTATACTTTCTGGTATCCCCGCCGTGATATCGCTGGAATATTGCTAAAAGCGACATAAAACCCTACTCACCCACTCTTCTTCGTATCAGTTGTTGTCGAAACTTCAAGACAAGCCACCAAGAAACTAAGACGGACTTACCCTGTCCAACACAGGACTTATGAGCAGCGAGTCTCCCCACAGGAACTGTCTGTCTATGCTGTAGGCGGCGGAATCAGTCGGGTACCTGGAACAAACTTTGAAAGTTACTTTCAGGCAGCATGACATTTACCTCGCTAAATTCGGTTCTAGTTTCGCGGTATTATTATTCCTTCCGAAATTGAACATGTTTTTGTGATACTGTTTTTAAAACTGAAGTGGCAGTAAATAAGGAGTAAAAAATTATATTAAATTTCGGTCTACCTTGCCCCTCAAGCGGAAGACATGAAACTTTTTCAACTTGTTTATTCTTTGTTGTAATAATAATAATAATAATAATAATAATAATTATAATAATAATAATAATAATAATAATAATAATAATATTATTATTATTATTATTATTTATAATTAGCGCCATTATTCCACGGTGTATGGATCAGTGTCCAATCGATTTTCTTTCTCAGCTCCCTAGGGAGTATACAACCCAAGCTGCCTGTGAGGCGCTAGACGGTTAACAGTCACAGAACCATTTCACCTCTCGAGTACCCATTCACTGCTGGGTAATCAGAGGCCGGTTTTATCGAACAAAGCCCCTTGCCTAAGAAGACACCACATGTGCTTGTGTGTGTGGGGCAGGACCGAAGTACGAGAAACTCTCAGAGGTCAAGCTGCCGAACACGGTCACCCATCCACCTACTCTCCGTGACCAACGTTACTTAACTTCGCCTGATTTGTGACCTGCGATCTGTGCACAGGACCACGTCCCACAACGACAACGACATTTCAGCTGTTATACGCAACTTTGAGCAATACTCTTGCAATATCAGGGCGGGGGCAACAGAAATGGACTTCACACATTGTACCCATGTGGGGGAGAGCAACTGGGTCTTCGGCGTGACGAGCGAACGCTTTAACCACTAGGCTACCTCAGGTTCGTGATTTATTAGGGAAATTTAAATCAATAGAAAATGAAATATGGCTGTAAATTGTAGGAAAATTTATGCAATTCTACACGAGCAAAGTGTTGGAGTACCTTAAATAATTTTAATCAAACTTTGTAAGTCAGCGGTAATATAACTTAGTCATACGCACTGGAAGATGAGGGGCCTGGCCACTGCCCTCTTCATGGACATGAGTGAATACAGGAAGGGGAGAAGGCGGTAACGGAGCCTCAGGGCCTCGCGGTTCCGGTCATGCGCAGCGGAACTAAATCGCACCGCTGCGGGATCTTTGTCCTGCGAGAAAGGGCACCATTTATATTTTATGTTAGTTTTCGTTTTCAAGGTCTTCAGCAACCCATGCTTGCCGTAAAAGGTGACTATGCTTGTCGTAAGAGGCGACTAATGGGATCGGGTGGTCGGCTCGCTGACTTGGTTGATGCATGTCATCGATCCCAATTGCGTGGATCGATGCTCATGATATCAATCACTGGATTGTCTGGTCCAGACTCGATTATTTACAGACTGCCGTCATACAGCTTGAATATTGCTGAGTGCGGCCTTAAACAGCAACAAACAAACAAAAAACAATGGAATTAACGGGAAAAGCCGAGTGAACCCGACTGTGACGTTATGACACCCTACCGGCGCCACTTTCTCGTTGTGAGACCTCATGAAAGGGTAGAAGGCGCCTAGCTGTAGCCATCTTGTACACAGTTCCTCGTCTGAGTCGCCTCTGAACCCACATATGTCCACGCCGGTGAAGGGGATGCCGAACATGTTGAAACTGAGAACTTCTGGCGAACAAAACAAGGTAAATGATTAAATGTCCGATTTATTACTCCACGTTTACAACCGCTTTCAGTTTATGGTTGCATGTCGTTTAAAGCCGCGCTCAGCAATATTCCAGCTATATGACGGCGGTATGTAAATAATCAAGTCTGGATCAGACAATCCAGTGATTGACATCATGAGCATCGATCTAGGCAATGGGGACACGATGACATGCATCAACCAAGTCAGTAACTTGGGTTTAACGCTGTATCCGCCGTAGAAAATGTATGTTGTTCTAGGGGATACTTCTTCAATATACAACACAAATCCGTCTGCGGGTCCACAACGTTTTATTGTGCATGGGAGCTGTTTCGTGTTCAGCTCCCAGATCTCAACTGCCAGCCCTCGCCGGTCTTGATGGATATATCTCTTTCTAACTTTCATTACTATTCTTTATAAGGTAATACAGCTATGCTATGTGGTATCTCGTCCACAACCCACATGCCTCACGTGCAGTGGTCGTCCTGGTGATCTTACTCTTGGCCTTATAAGACAACAGCATGAAGTTGCAGTCCCACAACTCCAAGAGTATGTATGGCCGGCCTCCCGCATCCCTCACTAGCCCCCAGTGAAACAGCTGTCCAGTGCACGCCTGACCTGTGACCTGGTCACTCCCCCACGAGGGGTTTGCTTGAGGGAGAGGGGGAGGAAATGTGTGCTACTGCCCAGCGCACACTGCTCACGGTCCACTGTATATTACCGCATGTGGTATACTGTATATATCTCTTGAAATACTGTATACTGCATGTGATATACGATCCGATCGTGACGAAGGACGTGTCCTCACGTCCTTAATAAGGGTTGTGAATGAGATACAGTCGGCAATCGATATATATCAAAAGGAATTTCCTTAATGTTGTCTAATCGCTAAACAATAAATATTATAGGTAAACAATAAATATTATACATAAACAATAAATATTATAGATGGACATGATTTTAGAATTAGATTTGGTAGGATGTACAATGTTTTGCTGTGGACCACTTTTTGTCTTAATAATCGTTCAATACAATCTACTAACACATTCACATACATATGTACAGTCATGATATACAACCAATCATATAAACATACGAACAATGATCTGCTTATGCTGGTTTATAACAGTAGGCATCAGTAATGAGAATCTATTGTTTGTTCCATGTTCATGTTTCTTATGGCTAGATTAATACCTGTATATGACATAATATGATCAGATAATAAGCCAAATTAGCCTATCAGTCATCATCGTGTATAAACAAACTATCATATTTTTTCCTTATCTTTTACTTTACACACATCAGTCGTTCACTCTTGCGTTCACTGACCCACGTTCAGCCTACACATTATGCTTTCAAATTAATGTATATAACGTAAAATTTGACATTAGCAATCACTCTCCTTTCTTCTGCGCATCCATGTTAGTTACATACAATTACATCACAAAACATCAACATTTACCATGGCACTTATCTTGTTTACAATTTCCCCTCGGGTATGGCTGGCCCTTCTACTAGTACCGGGACTTAGAGGAGAGAGGATGATTGCTCTATCCCCCTCCCATGGGTATCGAACACGCCTGTGTGTCTGTCCGTGATCAAGGGACAGATAGACGGTGGAATCCATCAGCCACCCTGCCGCATAGCGACATGACACCTGGTGTCTCTCCAGGGCCCCAGACAATGGCGTGATGGCTCTTTTGTCTGCGGGTTGTCCTGTACCTGTTTATACACAGTTGACACCTCTCCTCCTCTCCATCACTACACTACTACTCCTCTCCTTCTCTCCATCACTATATTATCATTTCTTCAATATAACACCCGGTGTCTCTCCAGGTCCCCAGACAATGGCGTGATGGCTCTTTTGTCTGAGGGTTGTCCTGTACCTGTTTATACACAGTTGACACCTATACGAGACACAAAACTGCGCACACCTTTCATCCCCAAGCCTGTCATACATAAATATGAATATTACATATACAGATGATGACCGAACCACAAGTTAATTTTTATAGTATATCAAATTTCGTATCCAATGAAAGGTGGCAGATACATTTTGTTGCATTGTTGTACATAATTAACGATTGTATATAAAACTATAACCTTCACACATAAACATACATGTAAACACAAATTGTACAACCTAACAAACACATATGTTGACAATGTTTCATCTATCATCCGATTTTGTTTGTAGGTAAGTTGAGGTGTTCGGTTTGTTATGTCTTTGGTTTGTGTGGCGATGAATGCACGGTTGTGTATATGGTATAAAAAGTAGACTTTGAATCACTGTTGGTATTTTAATGAGATCATCAGTGAAGCATTACGAAGAGTTTGTTTGAAATTTGATTAAAATATATGTATCTCTCTGGCTCACACACATCCTTTTATTCTTTCTCTCTCACTCTGCTTAGCTCTTCTCTTCCCCCCTCGCACGCAGCATATTTCAACTACAGCATAATAAATACAATAAACCTCTTGTCATCAATACACATCATAATAGAAGTGGACGAACATGTCCAGATCACAAACAATAATCAATACAATTATCAATAACTGTACTACATATACAGGACAAAGAAATCTCACATACGGCCAGTCGTAACATTCCTATCAGCTTGCATTCGTTCTCATATATTCATACACACAAGAGAGAAATCAAATATTGTATATCTTATCCGAATAATCATGTGAAGGACTTAGACTGCATAAAATTAAACCGTTATCTAGTATCTAAACGTCTGAGGATAAAAAGCTGATGTACGTCAGCATATAATATGAAGGTTATTAATTTAAACTTCTGATTAATATAAAAGCCATTAACAGGTTAATATATTCTGTATGTGCGGGAGTGGAGTACGCGGGTGTCTAACTGTGTATGCATACTGTGACAAAAGTCCATAAACATAACAACAAAAGAAAGTGCAACATAGACATGACGTTTGGGCAGTTGGTATATAGAATGTAGATTTGGGTGGGGGCGCTTCGTGTTGAAGAGGCGAACTTGAAGAGGAAGAGTGACGTGAGTGAGTTTCATATGCTAATGGGCTGTATGGAATGCCCCATGGATCGCAAAGTACATTCATGGCGTTATATATTTTTGTTTTATATAAAAATGGGAATAAAAAATAGTTCTTACCAATAAATGTTCCAATGAATGAAATAGATGAATTGTTCCAAGAAATAAATAATAAAATGTTCGTTTAAGAAAACAAATGTCACTTCGTTCTTGAGAAATGTTTCTTGAGAGAGGATACTGCAGACAAACAATATACACACTGCAGACACACAGTAGAATGAAGAAAGCTAAGACTTCTCTGGTTCAGGCACTGATCTTGTAGTTGATGATATTTATCAAGGACTGTGTGACGCTTCGATGGTCTTTTACCTTCCTAGTGGTAGAGGGCGGTTGCGATGGCTGAAATAACCTTCAGATTCTTCTTTTATTGGTCTTCCCAGAAGTTGCCGGTCCCAGCTAACGGTGGAGGGGTGGTGACAAGGTCTCAGAGTAGGGAAAACGATGAAGACAATAATGATGAGCCGATATCAAGCTTTATGAAATAGCTTGAGAGTAGACGAACCACATGAACCAGAATTCTGACTGTTGTTATTGCTGTTGTTGTGGCCGTCGTTGTTGCTGTTGTGGATGGTGCTGTGGATGAAGTTGTGGATGATGTTGTGAACGACGTTGTGGCTGATGTTGTAGATGATGTCGTGGACCCCAGACGAATAATAGAAATTCACTTCGTGTTGACTACCTTCTTTATCTTGGTGCTTTGGGTTTGAGGTACCGAGGATCGAAGCTCCACCAATATATCCGCCGTAGAAAATGTATGTTGTTCTAGGGGATACTTCTTCAATATACAACACAAATCCGTCTGCGGGTCCACAACGTTTTATTGTGCATGGGAGCTGTTTCGTGTTCAGCTCCCAGATCTCAACTGCCCGCCCTCGCCGGTCTTGATGGATATATCTCTTTCTAACTTTCATTACTATTCTTTATAAGGTAATACAGCTATGCTATGTGGTATCTCGTCCACAACCCACATGCCTCACGTGCAGTGGTCGTCCTGGTGATCTTACTCTTGGCCTTATAAGACAACAGCATGAAGTTGCAGTCCCACAACTCCAAGAGTATGTATGGCCGGCCTCCCGCATCCCTCACTAGCCCCCAGTGAAACAGCTGTCCAGTGCACGCCTGACCTGTGACCTGGTCACTCCCCCACGAGGGGTTTGCTTGAGGGAGAGGGGGGAGGAAATGTGCGCTACTGCCCAGCGCACACTGCTCGCGGTACATTGTATATTACCGCATGTGGTATACTGTATATATCTCTTGAAATACTGTATACTGCATGTGATAGCTGCTTTGAAAGTATTCCAGATATATCACGGCGTGTCAGCTTACTGTGGGAGGAAAGCCTGATGTGATGCAGGTCTCAGACGTTTACCACTTTGGTGAAACCCACGAGCACGGTGCTGACAAACCCAGAAACATAATCGGGGCGAACCGGTTCGAACCCACCATAATAAAAAAAATTTAGTGTGACCAAGGGACGCAACTCTGTACAGCGAATTGCGGCGGCTTAGACGATTAGTACAAGTCTGACCTGGTATCGAGTAGTACAAGTCTGACCTGGTATAGAGTAGTACAAGTCTGACCTGGTATAGAGTAGTACAAGTCTGACCTGGTATAGAGTAGTACCAGCCTGACCTTGTATAGAGTAGTACCAGCCTGACCTGGTATAGAGTAGTACAAGTCTGACCTGGTATAGAGTAGTACAAGTCTGACCTGGTATAGAGTAGTACAAGTCTGACCTGGTATAGAGTAGTACAAGTCTGACCTGGTATAGAGTAGTACCAGCCTGACCTGGTGTAGAGTAGTACAAGTCTGACCTGGTATAGAGTAGTACAAGTCTGACCTGGTATAGAGTAGTACAAGTCTGACCTGGTATAGAGTAGTACCAGCCTGACCTGGTGTAGAGTAGTACAAGTCTGACCTGGTATAGAGTAGTACAAGTCTGACCTGGTATAGAGTAGTACAAGTCTGACCTGGTATAGAGTAGTACAAGTCTGACCAGTCAGCAAAGTTGTCTCCTTCCCAGTGTGCGACGTAATTTCCGCTTCCGGCGAAAGTAGAACGAGAAAGGACAAATGGTCTCTTTCCGATGATATTTTTTAGAACACTGAAAAAGAAACCTTACGTTAATGGGTTAAGGAGCACGCAGTAGTGCAGCATGTGTTAACTGGAGGGAACCAGTGCAGGATGTATGTTCATACTTTCTTGTGTGTGACTCAAGTCTGTTGTTGGTACCAACACGTATGTGACTCTGTTGTTGGTACCTACATGTATGTGACTCTGCTGTTGGTACCTACTTGGATGTGACTCTGTTGTTGGTACCTACATGTATTCGACTCTGTTGTTGGTACCTACATGTATGTGACTCTGTTGTTGGTACCTGCATGTATGTGACTCTGTTGTTGGTACCTACATGTATGTGACTCTGTTGTTGGTACCAACACGTATGTGACTCTGTTGTTGGTACCTACATGTATGTGATTCTGTTGTTGGTACCAACATGTATGTGACTCTGTTGTTGGTACCAACACGTATGTGACTCTGTTGTTGGTACCTACATGTATGCGACTCTGTTGTTGGTACCAACACGCATGTGACTCTGTTGTTGGTACCTACATGTATGTGACTCTGTTGTTGGTACCTATTTGGGTGTGGCTCTGTTGTTGGTACCTACTTGGATGTGGCTCTGTTGTTGGTACCTACTTGGATGTGACTCTGTTGTTGGTACCTACATGTATGTGACTCTGTTGTTGATACCTACTTGGATGTGGCTCTGTTGTTGGTACCTACTTGGATGTGACTCTGTTGTTGGTACCTACATGTATGTGGCTCTGTTGTTGGTACCTACTTGGGTGTGGCTCTGTTGTTGATACCTACTTGGATGTAGCTCTGTTGTTGGTACCTACTTGGATGAAGCTCTGTTGTTGGTACCTACTTGGATGTAGCTCTGTTGTTGGTACCAACCTTGGTGTAGTTCTGTTGTTGGTACCTACATGTATGTGGCTCTGTTGTTGGTACCTACTTGGATGTAGCTCTGTTGTTGGTACCTACTTGGATGTGACTCTGTTGTTGGTACCTACATGTATGTGACTCTGTTGTTGGTACCTACTTGGATGTGACTCTGTTGTTGGTACCTACTTGGATGTGACTCTGTTGTTGGTACCTACATGTATGTGACTCTGTTGTTGGTACCTACATGTATGTGGCTCTGTTGTTGGTACCTACTTGGATGAAGCTCTGTTGTTGGTACCTACTTGGATGTAGCTCTGTTGTTGGTACCAACCTTGGTGTAGTTCTGTTGTTGGTACCTACATGTATGTGGCTCTGTTGTTGGTACCTACTTGGATGTAGCTCTGTTGTTGGTACCTACTTGGATGTGACTCTGTTGTTGGTACCTACATGTATGTGACTCTGTTGTTGGTACCTACTTGGGTGTGGCTCTGTTGTTGGTACCTACTTGGGTGTGACTCTGTTGTTGGTACCTACATGTATGTGACTCTGTTGTTGATACCTACTTGGGTGTAGCTCTGTTGTTTGTACCTACTTGGATGTAGCTCTGTTGTTGGTACCTACTTGTATGTTGCTTTGCCCTCGAAGTGGCCGTACAGATTATGCAGGTTGTAGTGGAGTCCTCCGTGGAACGTGGATGACATGCACAACGTCTTCTGCATGAGGCTGCTCCCATTCAGGGCTGAACAACGATATATATAACATAACAATCTATGTATATAGCCTGGGAAAACGTTGACATGAAGAGGCGGGTCAGCTGCCTTCCTAAACACTGAGAGAAAAAGGTGACGTGAGCTGAAATGGAGATTAACGTCGCGTTTAAGATTATTGCACTTATATAGCGACGACGTGTGTGTGTGTGTGTGTGTGTGTGTGTGTGTGTGTCTGTGTGTGTGTGTGTGTGTGTGTGTGTGTGTGTGTGTGTGTGTGTGTGTCTGTCTGTGTGTGTGTGTGTGTGTGTGTGTCTGTGTGTGTGTGTGTGTGTCTGTCTGTCTGTGTGTGTGTCTGTCTGTCTGTCTGTCTGTGTGTGTGTGTGTGTGTGTGTGTGTGTGTGTGTGTGTGTGTGTGTGTGTGTGCTACTAATGCCGAATTTTAGTGCTACCACTCAGATACCATGCAGCAGTTTTACATGAACACCCCACTCAGACACAGTATACTGGTTCCGAGCGATCAGTCTTCGTTTTATCCCCCAAATGTCGGGCGCCAGGCAGGATAACAACAAGTACCATCTGTTCACGTCTTTTGGCATGACGCGGCCGGGCATCCAACCCCCGACCTTCCGCTCTCCTGGTGGATGCTCTACCACTAGACCACGTACGTGGTCCCTTAAAAGAAGCCTGGGGATCATAAGTATTTTGGGAAATACTTTTTTGTGTGCTGAGGACTGAGTTTCTTGAAATGTATGCAGTGTACAAAGAGTGAGTGAGTGAGTTGTGTTTGACGCTGCTTTGAACAATAGTCCAGTTATATCAAGGTGTGTCACCTTATGGTGGGAGGAAAGCCAAAAGTGATGCAGGTCTTAGACGTTTACACTTTGGTGAAATAAACGAGCACGGGTATGGTATACTGACAAAACTGGAAATATAATCGGAACGGACTGGGATTCGAACCCACAATCATAGGTTACTGGCACAGTGAATTGTTGAGCCTTAGATGACTGGGCCACCCGTGCCACCCTATACAAGAGAGAAACATACATAAAGACATACACATTAATGACGGCAAGGTTGGTTGAAGGCAACGCGTCAAACACTGCATATGTTCGCAGCAGAACAGGGAGCCAATCTCATTAGGGGTCACGTCAGAACGACCTTTCATCAAATCAATCAGAGTGTAGTTTGCCAGATGAGGAAAGTGACAGTCGGAATGTATTTTCTTATCTTGCCACCTCGAAAAAATTACTATTTAGTATTACTAGCCCACTGAGATACCATGCCAGAGGACTCGGATACACATATATTCTTACCTCGAGCAGCAGCTTTAATCCCTATAATGCCGAGTGCCACACAGGGTACCAACAAGTACTATCTGTTAATGTCCTTTCATATGAACCGCCTCCGTGGTCTTGTGGTAGAGCGTCCGCCCGGAGAGCGGAAGGTCCGGGTTTCGATTCCCGGCCGCGTCATACCAAAAGACGTTTATAGATGGTACTTGTTGTTACCCTGTCCTTTCATATGAACCGCCTCCGTGGTCTAGTGGTAGAGCGTCCGCCCGGAGAGCGGAAGGTCCGGGGTTCGATTCCCGGCCGCGTCATACCAAAATACGTTTATAGATGGTACTTGTTGTTACCCTGTCTTTTCATATGAACCGCCTCCGTGGTCTTGTGGTAGAGCGTCCGCCCGGAGAGCGGAAGGTCCGGGGTTCGATTCCCGGCCGCGTCATACCAAAAGACGTTAAAAGATGGTACTTGTTGTTACCCTGTCTAGCGCTCGGGGCTCAAACAAGGGCTGGTCGGCTCGGTGTCAGTATACTGTGTCTGAGTGGGGTATTCATGTTAAACTGCGGCATGGTAGCTCAGTGAGCTAGCACTATAAATCCCTATAATGCCGAGCGCCAGACAGGGTACCATCAAGTACCATCTGTTAATGTCCTTTCATATGACGCGGCTGTGGATCGACCCACGAAACTTCCGCTCTCCTGACAGACCTCTGCCCACAACACCAGGGAGGCGGTCTATTTCATTATCGACGACCATACCTATATTGTATTGATGCCACGTAAACATGAGCAATCACAAACCAACACCATGCAAAAAGGTCAAGATTGTGGGACTTCTTCGAGTGTGGCTGCCAAAGTTAAATGTAAAAGACAAATCGTTAAAAACATTATAATATGAAACATTGCAAAAGGCTGAAACAAACTGTCGCGAAATAACTTTACATTCCTCAAGTAAAGCTGCAACTGACTATATGAAAAGTTAAAATGACACATTGTACTCCCCCGTGAAGATCCGGGTTCAATCACATTAAAATCAGGTCTAAGTTCTTGCTACCGCTAAACAAAGATCTCAGGACATCCCATTACGGGTCACGTCAGAACGACCTTTCATCCAACCAATCAGAGGGTAGATTGCCAGATCAGGAGAGTGATAGTCGGAATGTATTTTCTAATCCTGCAACTTAGAAACAATTGATACGCGGTATTCCGAACGACAGTGCGGGCTTTGCGACTGAATCCATACAAATGAGGCCATGTATGAGCCACTCCAGAACGTTCTTTTGTGCAGTTTTCAAAATATGTTTAGAAACGTAGTCGCCAGTGTGAACTAGTACCGTACAGCACGAGAAAGCTGCCTTCTGATTGGCTAATGTCGACCTCTTGTCAGTCATTCCATTGGTCGGTCAAAGTTCGCGAAAGGTCGGTCTGACGTGACCCGTAATGGGATGTCCTCAGATCGTTGTTTATAGCGGTAGCGAGAACTAAGATCTGATTTCAGTGAGATTGCACGGGGATGAGGTAGAATACAGGCAATGGAGGAAAATGCGGGAGGTAGTGTGTAATTAGGGTACTTGAAGTCTGTCCAGCGGAGGAGCTTGAACAGCAGGCAATATTGTTGGATAGTGAGTGAGTGAGTGAGTTGGGTTTAACGCCGCTTTTAACAGTATTCCAGTTATATCACGGCGTGTCAGCTTAATGTGGGAGGAAAGCCCGAAGTCACGCAGGTCTCAGACGTTTACCACTTCGGTGAAACCCACGAGCACGGGTATGGTGCTGACATACCTAGAAACATAATCAGGGCGAGCCGGAACTCGAACCCACAATCATAGGTTTCTGGCGTGCCCAAGGGACGCAACTCTGCACAGCGAGTCGCGGCGCCTCAGACGACTGGGCCACCCGTGCCCCCCTATTGTTGGATAGGCCAACATTGTGACGTATGTAGTGTTGAGCCGAGGGTGCTGAGAATGTAATGTGTACGGAATCACACGGGGAGCAAGGTAGAATACAGGCAATGGGAAACACAGGATAGGAATACCTGAGATGGTAGACCGGCAACCGTAAGAAGACAGGCCATGTGACTAGAAATTAGGCGTACGTACAAGACTCAGGGTAGAGCTACAAGCAATGTTACTGGATCCACCGGCAATCGGACGTACACGGTGTGTGGGATGGGGTGCTGGGAACTAATTCTCCCTGGAATTCACACTGTCAAGTGACACAGAGCTACAAGCTACAAGCCTCAGGGTAGAACTACAAGCAATGTTACTGGATCCACCGGCAATCGGACGTACACAGTGTGTGGGATGGGGTGCTGGGAACTACTTCTCCCTGGAATTCACACTGTATAGTGACACAGAGCTACAAGCTACAAGACTCAGGGTAGAACTAAAATCAATGTTACTGGATCCACCGGCAATCGGACGTACCTCGTGTGGGATGGGGTGCTGGGAACTAATTCTCCCTGGAATTCACACTGTATAGTGACACAGAGCTACAAGCTACAAGACTCAGGGTAGAACTACAAGCAATGCTACTGGATCCACCCGCAATCGGACGTACACGGTGTGTGGGATGGGGTGCTGGGAACTAATTTATTCTGGAATTCACACTGTCAAGTGACACAGAGCTACAAGCTACAAGACTCAGGGTAGAACTAAAATCAATGTTACTGGATCCACCGGCAATCGGACGTACACGGTGTGTGGGATGGAGTGCTGGAAACTAATTGTTTCTGGAATTCACACTGTCAAGTGACACAGAGCTACAAGCTACAAGCCTCAGGGTAGAACTAAATCCACCGGCAATCGGACGTACACGGTGTGTGGGGTGGAGTGCTGGGGACTATTCTTTTCTGTAATTCACACTGTCAAGTGACACAGAGCTACACGCTACAACTACAAGCAATGTTACTGGCTCCTACGGCAATCGGACGTACACGGTGTGTGGGATGGAGTGCTGGGGACTATTCTTTTCTGTAATTCACACTGCCAAGTGACACAGAGCTACAAGCTACAACTAAAAGCAATGTTACTGGATCCACCGGCAATCGGACGTACACGGTGTGTGGGGTGGAGTGCTGGGGACTATTCTTTTCTGGAATTCACACTGCCAAGTACCACAGAGCTACACTCTACAAGCTACAAGCTAAAGGGTAGAGCAATCGGGCGATGGAGATGGGGTACTTGAAATCTATTGTAAAGGAAATCCATGAGGAGCGAAATTAAAATATAGGCAACGTGACCAGAAATTAGCCTCACGTGGTGTATAGGGCGGGTTTTCCAGAGAGTTGTTGCTACATCCTGTCACAGACCCGTCCTTGAAGTTGGACGGTTCGTTCATGTCCTGTCGCCATTTAATGCAGTGTAAACAACTTGATTTCATAAACCTAATCGAACGCATAAATCCTGCAGTTGTTTATCTTGCACACATGGCTTACTTGGATCCTCTTGCTTTATTTAAAAACGTATACACATTGCAACACTATTTAACGCGAAACTTGATCTGTGATTAGAAACACATTTACTCTTTATATTGCTCCACGTACTGACAAGGAGGGCAGGACAGCTTGAGGATCTGTGAGTGTGTGTGTGTGTGTGTGTGTGTGTGTTCGTGTCTGTAGGTGTGCTACTGCGTCAGTGTGAATGTGTGTGCGTGCATGTGTGTAAGTGTTTATGTGGGGGTAAGTGGGTGAATACACGTATGCGTGCATGCGTGTATGTGTATGTGTGTGTGCGTGCATGCGTGTATGTGTGTGAATGTGTGTAAGTTTGTGTGAATTTGTGTGAATATGTGCGTACCGCGTGTGTGTACGCACGTGTGTACGTGTGAGTGTACGAATGCGTCTTCGTGCGGGTGTGTGTATACATGTGTGTGCATGCGTGTGTGTATGTGCGCGTGAGTGTGTGTACATGTGTGTGTGTATGTGTGTGTGTTCATGTGTATGTGTGTGTGTTCACGTGTGGAGAGAGAGAGAGAGAGGGAGAGAGAGAGAGAGGGAGAGTGCTTGGGTGTGTTTGTACAAGTCAGGACAACTATAAGAGAACAACAACATAACAATAGTTGAAGCCATGCTGCTAAAACAACGGCATAAAACCTTGCTCATTACCTATTGACGCCTAGTGAGATATTTGTGGGGTATCCCTACCGTAGTAAATGAAGACTTTTAGTCGTTTTTCATCCAATCAAAGTAATTATGGTTGTCCATATGTGTGTGTACTTACAATCCAGATGCCATCAAATGGAAGTTGAGCGTGCATGATCTGGGCGTGTTTCTGCCACCATGCTTCAGCCTTAGGGTGAGAGAAATCTGGGAATACCGTCTTCCCCGGCCACACCTGTCACAGGTGAAAATATTGCAATCGTATTTGTTTTTAGTTTTCTTTGTTTGTTGTTAAACGTCGCACTCAGCAATATTCCAGCAATATGACGGCGGTCTGTAGATAATCGAGTCTGGACCAGACAATCCTGTGATTGACATCATGAGCATCGATCCACGCAATTGAGATATGATGACATGCGTCAACCAAGTCAGCGAGCCTGAACACCTGATCCCGTTAGTCGCCTCATACGACAAGCATGGTCGTGTTTTTACGGCCAGTATGCATTGCTGAAGACCTATTCTATCCCAGATCTTCACGGGTCTGTCATTTGGTATAAGGATCCGTGAACCCAATAAAATAAACATTTGGAGAATCGTCTTTTTGAGGTTATCTGAAAATGGGTGTAACCACTGTCTGGGACAGCTAGGGTCTACCCACCTCTCCCACTAAAGGAACTGTCTAGGACAGCTAGGGTCTACCAACCTCTCCGTCTATAGGAGCTGTCTAGGACAGCTAGAGTCGACCAACCTCTCCCAGCATAGGAACTGTCTAGGACAGCTAGGGTCTACCAACCTCTCCGTCCATAGGAGCTGTCTAGGACAGCTAGAGTCGACCAACCTCTCCCAGCATAGGAACTGTCTAGGACAGCTAGGGTCTACCCACCTCTCCCACTAAAGGAGCTGTCTAGGACTGCTAGGGTCTACCCACCTCTCTCACTAAAGGAACTGTCTAGGACTGCTAGGGTCTACCCACCTCTCTCACTAAAGGAACTGTCTAGGACTGCTAGGGTCTACCAACCTCTCTCACTAAAGGAACTGTCTAGGACAGCTAGGGTCTACCCACCTCTCCCACTAAAGGAACTGTCTAGGACAGCTAGGGTCTACCCACCTCTAACACTATATGAACTGTCTAGGACAGCTAGGGTCTACCCACCTCTCAGTCTATAGGAGCTGTCTAGGACAGCTAGAGTCGACCAACCTCTCCCAGCATAGGAACTGTCTAGGACAGCTAGGGTCTACCCACCTCTCCCACTAAAGGAACTGTCTAGGACAGCTAGGGTCTACCCACCTCTCCCACTAAAGGAACTGTCTAGGACAGCTAGGGTCTACCCACCTCTCTCACTATAGGAACTGTCTAGGACAGCTAGGGTCTACCCACCTCTCTCACTATAGGAACTGTCTAGGACAGCTAGGGTCTACCCACCTATCTCACTATAGGAACTGTCTAGGACAGCTAGGGTCTACCCACCTCTCTCACTATAGGAGTTGTCTAGGACAGCTAGGGTCTACCCACCTCTCCCAGCTTAGGAGCTGCAAAGGACAGCTAGGGTCTACCCACCTCTCCCAGCATAGGAGCTGCAAAGGACTGCTAGGGTCTACCCACCTCTCCCAGCATGGGAGCTGCAAAGGACAGCTAGGGTCTACCCTCCTCTCTCACTATAGGAACTGTCTAGGACAGCTAGAGTCTACCCACCTCTTTCACAATAGGAACTGTCTAGGACAGCTAGGGTCTACCCACCTCTCCCAGCATAGGAGCTGCAAAGGACAGCTAGGGTCTACCCTCCTCTCTCACTATAGGAACTGTCTAGGACAGCTAGGGTCTACCCACCTCTCTCACTAAAGGAACTGTCTAGGACAGCTAGGGTCTACCCACCTCTCTCACTATAGGAACTGTCTAGGACAGCTAGGGTCTACCCACCTCTCTCACTATAGGAGTTGTCTAGGACTGCTAGGGTCGACCCACCTCTCCGCCTATAGGAACTGTCTAGGACAGCTAGTGTCTACCCACCTCTTTCACTATAGGAGCTGTCTAGGACAGCTAGTGTCTACCCACCTCTTTCACTATAGGAGCTGTCTAGGACAGCTAGTGTCTACCCACCTCTTTCACTATAGGAGCTGTCTAGGACAGCTACCGTCTACCAACCTCTCCCACTATAGGAGCTTCCTAGGACAGCTAGTGTCTACCCACCTCTCTCACTATAGGAGTTGTCTAGGACAGCTAGGGTCTACCCACCTCTCCCAGCATAGGAGCTGCAAAGGACAGCTAGGGTCTACCCTCCTCTCTCACTATAGGAACTGTCTAGGACAGCTAGGGTCTACCCACCTCTCCCACTAAAGGAACTGTCTAGGACAGCTAGGGTCTACCCACCTCTCTCACTAAAGGAATTGTCTAGGACAGCTAGGGTCTACACACCTCTCTCACTAAAGGAACTGTCTAGGACAGCTAGTGTCTACCCACCTCTCCCACTTAAGGAACTGTCTAGGACAGCTAGGGTCTACCGACCTCTCTTACTAAAGGAACTGTCTAGGACAGCTAGGGTCTACCCACCTCTCTCACTATAGGAACTGTCTAGGACAGCTAGGGTCTACCCACCTATCTCACTATAGGAACTGTCTAGGACAGCTAGGGTCTACCCACCTCTCCCACTAAAGGAACTGTCTAGGACAGCTAGGGTCTACCCACCTCTCTCACTATAGGAACTGTCTATGACAGCTAGGGTCTACCCACCTCTCCCACTATAGGAACTGTCTAGGACAGGTAGGGTCTACCCACCTCTCTCACTAAAGGCAATGTCTAGGACAGCTAGGGTCTACCCACCTCTACCACTAAAGGAACTGTCTAGGACAGCTAGGGTCTACCCACCTCTCCCACTAAAGGAACTGTCTAGGACAGCTAGGGTCTACACACCTCTCTCACTAAAGGAACTGTCTAGGACAGCTAGGGTCTACCCACCTCTCCCACTAAAGGAAATGTCTAGGACTGCTAGGGTCTACCCACCTCTCCCACTAAAGGAAATGTCTAGGACAGGTAGGGTCTACCCACCTCTCCCACTAAAGGAAATGTCTAGGACAGCTAGGGTCTACACACCTCTCTCACTATAGGAACTGTCTAGGACAGGTAGGGTCTACCCACCTCTCCCACTAAAGGAAATGTCTAGGACTGCTAGGGTCTACCCACCTCTCCCACTAAAGGAAATGTCTAGGACAGGTAGGGTCTACCCACCTCTCCCACTAAAGGAAATGTCTAGGACTGCTAGGGTCTACCCACCTCTCCCACTAAAGGAAATTTCTAGGACAGGTAGGATCTACCCACCTCTCCCAGTATGGGAGCTGCCAAGGACTGTTAGGGTCTACCAACCTCTCCGTCTATAGGAGCTGTCTAGGACAGCTAGAGTCGACCCACCTCTCCCACTATAGGAGCTGTCTAGGACAGCTAGGGTCTACCCACCTCTCCGTGTATAGGAGCTGTCTAGGACAGCTAGAGTCGACCCACTTCTCCGTCTATAGGAGCTGTCTATGACAGCTAGGGTCTACCAACCTCTCCGTCTATAGGAACTGTCTAGGACAGCTAGAGTCGACCCACCTCTACCACTATTGGAGCTGTCTAGGACAGGTAGGGTCTACCCACCTCTCCCACTATAGGAATTGTCTAGGACAGCTAGAGTCGACCCACCTCTCCCACTATTGGAGCTGTCTAGGACAGGTAGGGTCTACCCACCTCTCCCACTATAGGAGCTACCTAGGACAGCTACAGTCTACCCACCTCTCCCACTATAGGAGCTACCTAGGACAGCTACAGTCTACCCACCTCTCCCACTATAGGAACTGCGAAGGACAGCTAGGATCTACTCAACTCTCCCACTATAGGAATTGTCTAGGACAGCTAGGGTCTACCCATCTCTCCCACTATAGGAGTTGCGAAGGACAGCTAGGATCTTCTCAGCTCTCCCACTATAGGAGCTGCCAAGGACAGCTTGAGTCTACCCACCTCTCCCACTATAGGAGCTACCTAGGACAGCTACAGTCTACCCACCTCTCCCACTATAGGAACTGCGAAGGACAGCTAGGATCTACTCAACTCTCCCACTATAGGAATTGTCTAGGACAGCTAGGGTCTACCCATCTCTCCCACTATAGGAGTTGCGAAGGACAGCTAGGATCTTCTCAGCTCTCCCACTATAGGAGCTGCCAAGGACAGCTTGAGTCTACCCACCTCTCCCACTATAGGAGCTGCCAAGGACAGCTAGAGTCGACCCACCTCTCCCACTATAGGAACTGCCAAGGACAGCTAGAGTCGACCCACCTCTCCCACTATAGGAGCTGCTAAGGGCAAGCTATGGTCTACCCACCTCCCCCACTAAAGGAGCAGATCCGTTGGCAGTCTTCACGAAGATATCATCTGTTATGCCATCGTCATACGGGGCATACTGACCCTTGGGCTGGGTGTTGCTGATGCCGGGATCCTGGAACGAAGTTGGTCAAATGTGAACCCAGGGATTTAGAATTGCTGGCATTATATAAATAACAGCGACAAAAATGTTTCATTACCATAAGTGTCAACTGTACGATTCCGACTATACCACAGTCATAAGTACTGGAATGCAAACACAGAAGCAATAATTCAAACTTGATTACATCACATTTTTTCAGTTACTGCGGCTACCGATTTAGTTACATCGATTCTGGACCGCCCTCGTCGTCAGGTGAGTGGAAGGTTCGATCCCAACCCGCGTCATATCAAAAGACGTAAAGAGATGGCACTTTTTGTTACCTTGCCTGACGCTCGGCATTAAGGGGTCAATTGTCAGATAATACAGGATATTTAACACCTACCCAGATGAATAAAGTGTAACATAAAATAGACAATAGTCAGATAATACGGGATGTTAAACACCTACCCAGATGAATAAAGTGTAACATACACTACACAATAGTCAGATGATACTGGATATTTAACATCTACCCAGATGAATAGAGTGTAACATACACTACACACTAGTCAGATGATACTGGATATTTAACATCTACCCAGATGAATATAGTGTAAAATACAATAGACAATAGTCAGATAATACGGGATATTTAACACCTACCCAGATGAATAAAGTGTAACATACACTAGACAATAGTCAGATAATACGGGATATTTAAGACCTACCCAGATGAATAAAGTGTAACATACAATAGACAATAGTCAGATAATACGGGATATTTAAGACCTACCCAGATGAATAAAGTGTAACATACACTACACAATAGTCAGATAATACGGCATATTTAACACTCACCAAGATGATGACGTATTTCTCCCCATGACTATGTATATCCTTAACAAGGTCCGGCAGCTGACCATACACCGTGTGGTCGTAGGTCCAGTCCATCTCTTTGACCATGTAGTCGATGTCGTTCCAGATGGTGTCCTTTTAAACACAATATGGTTTCACAAGACATTGTAAATCATGACATAGAAATGTATCTGTAAACGTACACATTCAAAGGATGATGGATGGACGATACGGGACCCTTCTGTCATTCTTCTTGAAACGCCAAAGTGGTGGGAGAAAAATGTACGCAAAAGGCATTAAATAAAAATGTGTTTGAGCTTTAGTATTAAGTTTCAATAACATTGTGGTAAAAGCCGAACACGGGGACAGTGTTCGATTCACAATATGAAGCCCATTTCCGGTGTGATAGTCAGAGTGTATTTTCTAATCATGCAACCTCGTAAATGTATTCTGAACGTCAGTTAAGGACTGTACGACTGATTCCGTCCAAATAATCGTCTATCTTTTGCTTCAATAGGACAAATATTTGAAACGGAAGATATATTCCGTAGCCCGGGCCCGCCCGCGTCATACCAAAAGACGTTAAACGATGGTACTTGTTGTTACCGTGCCTGGCATTCGTCATTCAGGGTCTAAAATAAGGACTGGTCGGGTCCGAGTCTCACTCACATGACCAAAGTCAGATGCACTTCCCGATTTGGACTTGTGCCATTTCTTTCCGTGTATTATGGGGTAAAAATAACCTCACCTCACCTCACCTCACCTCACCTCACCTCACCTCACCTCACCTCTATAACCAGTGAGAAGTACTGCCATACAATCTCGGCCATCTATTAGACATTCCAGGCTTTTCGTTTGTACAGTTTTCAAATTTTGAATCAATATTTTTCAAAGCGTAATCAAGAATGGAAGTTGCCAGTTTGAAACTAGTCGCGTAAAGCTCGATAAAGCAGCTTTCTGATTGGCTAACGTCGACTTCATATCAGTCGTTTCATTGGTCGGTCAAAGTTCGCAAAGGGTCTTTCTGACGTGACCGAAATGAGTGACATCAGATCTTTGTTTAGTGGCAACGAGAACTAACATCTGCTTTTAATGACAAAACATGAAAAAAAGCTTCTCACGCATTTACTCTGTACTGATTGTCTCCAAAATTATACCACAAGCTGGACCGTCAATCATACGCCTTGCAAACGTAGTTCAGATTTAAAAAGGATGCTCTGCGTTCGGCAAATGATGCAGTGTGACCTCAACCTACAAATGGCATCTGTTTGTTCCTCATCCTTTGTATGGTTGCGTTCATCCCGCTTGTTCCGCCGTATCCCCACCTACTCAGATGGTATCCTAGCGACCAGTATGGCGGAAGTGGTGGCTGTCCAATCAAAGTCCAGTACTGATCGATGACGTCATCCGGCGTAGGGCCAGTGAAAACGTAGAAGTCCAGTATTCCCCCAAGGGCGCGGTAGCGAATTGTCACGGGATTGGTTGGAATAACGTCGATACCTGTTCGCAAGTGATAAGAAAAAATAGCATTTGTAATACCCAGACTTCACATTTAAGTACCCAGATATAACCACGGTATCAAATTAAAGTACCAAGATTTCAGTCAGGTATCAAGTAAAAGTATCCATGTTTCATCCAGGTGTCAAATAAAAGTACCAAGATTTCAGTCAGGTATCAAATTGAAGTACCAAGATTTCAGTTAGGTATCAAATTGAAGTAGCAAGATTTCAGTTAGGTATCAAATTGAAGTAGCAAGATTTCAGTCAGGTATCAAATTGAAGTACCAAAATTTCAGTTAGGTATCAAATTGAAGTAGCAAGATTTCAGTTAGGTATCAAATTGAAGTAGCAAGATTTCAGTCAGGTATCAAATTGAAGTACCAAAATTTCAGTTAGGTATCAAATTGAAGTAGCAAGATTTCAGTCAGGTATCAAGCTAAAGTCCCCATGTTTCATCCAGGTGTTAAATAAAAGTACCAACATTTCAGTCAAGTATCAATTTAAAGTATCCAGATGTCAGCCAGGTATCAAATTAAAGTACCAAGATATCAGGCAGGTATCAAGTTAAAGCATCCATACATCGCCCTAGTATTGAGTCATGTTATCCTGTTAAAGGGGCACTGATCTAAAGCAATTCCCCGGGACTGGTGGTTGCCTTTGTTATTGCTGTTATCCCCGTGAGTACCCGGATGATACGCAACGCAACTGAGCGTGACAAGAAACTGGGCTACCGTCTGCAAGGACAGCTGAATAAACTTGGAGGCAATAATTGTCTTACTCATTTTTGAACACTGATTGGTTAACCGTGATCTATAAAGATTTCGACAAAGGGCGCATGTTAATTAATTTCTTCAGCCTAAACAAACAGACAAAAAGAAGCTCATCGGATGTCGTCATTTGGAAATAGTTATATGATTGTTATAGTTTAATAATAAACGAGTATCCATGCAGTGAAAGCATTTTCGGATTTCGTATTATCGATTACCATTTGGCATTTATTGTGTCTGGGGTAATTATTCAATCTAAATCCAGGTTTAAAGTGAGGTGAAATGTGTGTTATGTAATATGCACGTAGCAGCTCAGCAAGAGATGAATGATCAGTTGATTTACTTTTTTGTAAATCAACGGATCGTTCCTAGTCATCAAAGGATTAACAGAAAATACATTGATTGATTAATCACTGTTATCTTGTCAAAAGTGAGTGTTTACATGTCTAGGTTTACTAAAACAAAGGGAATACACTCATATCATGGCGTGAAGTGCCGATATAAAAACAACATACTTTGTTCAAACGGTTAAGGCGATAATATATTGATTGACAGCTCATTGTTATCTATCACTCAATGGATTTTTTTGGGAACCGAGGACGTTATGAAAATAGTTGTCACGTAGGCTTTCTCAGCCGACCTTTGAGACATGACACCTATGTGAAACACCTGAAACAATCTAAGTGATCAGTTGAGAAACGAACACCGGTCCTACTAAATTACGCCCGGGGGCGTCCGGAAACGTCCGGGAGCGCCCGGAAACGTCCGGGAGCGCCCGGGCAATGCCAGGGAGCGTCCGGGAGAATGATACTAAATAATAAAGTGTATTCTATATAATTGTGTTCTTATATTAATTATACAAAATAAAATATAGCTGGAAAAAAATTACATACACCCCTTTTCTTTTTAAATGGTGAATCTGCGAAGCAAATGCGATTTTATTTATTCGAACTGACGAGGTATTCGTAACGTAGGCTTTGATGGATACAATTTAATTTGCTTATGGAACAAATAAAATGTTCTTTTATAGTGTCATATTCTGTATACATTTCCATAACTAAAACTGAAACACAGACGTTTTCAAAAGTTCATGCGTTGCCCCAGGTGATTCACTGAGTGTAAAACGTCCGGTACTATAGCGTCCGGGCAACGTCGGGGAGCATCTGGTGGGAGCGTCCGGGAGGTTTCATCAGACGTCTGGAAACGTCCGGGAGGTTTCATCAGACGTCTGGAAACGTCCGGGAGGTTTCATCAGACGTCCGGGAGTTTAAAAATACAGTGCTGTCAATAAAACATGTCTTTCTCAGTTTGGTAAGATCGTGAGAATATCAACTAGCGTGCGTGTTTGCCACGTGCAGCGGCCAGAAACTTCCGGATACTGGTACTTCCATTTTCTGGCCGCTGCACGTGGCAAACACGTACGTCAGTTGATATTCTCACGATCTTACCAAACTGAGAAAGACATTGACTGCACTGTATTTTTAAACTCCCGGACGTTTCCGGACGTCTGATGAAACCTCCCGGGCGTTTCCGGACGCCCCCGGACGTTAAATATAAAGTAGGACCCACGAACATAGGTTCGGTAGGTTGTAATTATGATATTTTTCCTTTATGTTTTCCTTCATTTGCTGTAGCATTGAACAGATTCGTTCCTGTTCCTCTACGTCTTGGTTGGGAAATTCTTCGATGCGCGATAGATGTTGTTTTCACAAGTCTTTTCCTTTGTAAGCATGTACTTATTACAGTTAATTTGTAAAATGTGATTCTCTCAGACAATTTATAAAATGTGTAAATATTTCAGTCATTTTGACTGAAAAATCTGTCCATCTCTTTAACAGATTGACTAAAACTGATTAAGACGATCAAAAGGGCCTATAAACTTCACAATAGATTATTATGTAGGATTAGAAGCCAAACAATATAGAAATGTACTTTTCATCGTAACATTTTCAGTCTCTTGGTGAAGATATTAAACATAAAAATGTTTGGAATTCGTTATCATAATAATACAGATGGACATATTTTTCAGTCAATTTGTAAAATAACTGAATATTCAGGCTTTTAATAAATTTCCTAGGTGAAAATTTTGCACATTTTGACTGTAAAAAATATAAACACGATAAAATAAGCAATGCTCAGGAGAAATATTTACTTTGTGTTGCAAGTCAAAATAGTGTAAACGAAAATCGCACAATTACCAAGCAAGTGACATATCAAAAGTTCGTCACCATTACCGATGCTACCCACAAAGATACCTACATTTCCTAATTATTTCCAAAACTGTATTTCATTTTGTTGATCAATGTGACCATACGCCCTTATACTATCAATAAAAGTGACAAATGCGCTTACGAATTGCGCAGCACAGGTCGCGAACTAGTCTTGGTTTCTGCTATATCATCCGGGTACTCACAGGGGAAAACAATAACAAAGGCAACAACCAGTCCCGGGGAATTGCTTTAGATCAGTACCCCTTTAAAGTATAAGATGTCAAGTGATCTCACTCACTCACTTACGTAGAGCATTGCTGTTAATGAGAAATATTCCAAATGCGTCGCCGTTTGGTTCTATTCCGACCACAAATGGGTGGCTGCCGTACATATTCGTGTTGATCTGAAAGAAAATGGGGTGTTACATCAAAAACAAGGACCACGCCATGTCTATTTCATTCAATGAAACCGCCTTTATCCGGATGGTGCCGTTCCTCGTCGAAACAATCTCCCAGATAGCACATTTTCCGAAATAACGAAGACGTGTTACGGGGTCTAATCCTTTGGATATAATAATTGAACTCTAAACAAAAATGGTCCGGAATAACTGGGTTTCCAAAGTAACAGAGTTTCCGAAAAAACAGGTTTCCAAAATATCAGGGTTTCCTGAATAACCAGGTTTTCATTGTAACAGGGTTTCCGGAAAAACATGATTTCCGGAATAACAGGGTTTCCGGAATAACGGGTTTTCCGGAATAACAGGGTTTCCAAAATAACATGATTTCCGGAATAACAGGGTTTCCGGAATAACATGATTTCCGGAATAACGGTTGCAATGCACATCTTTTTTTAAAAAGAATTTAATGTTTGATTCTTTACGCAGAATTTGTTTTCTTATATTGTATCTTGGGGGGAATATTTTTATGATATTGTCTGCTCAGTGTTCGCTACAATAGAAATATCCCATAATATATTCATGATCCCAAACCTTTTTTAGTTCAGGTTATTAAAAAAATACATTAGCAGATCTTTAGAATATAATCAGGCTACAATGTTGAACAGTTATAGGCCCACAGCTTCCAAAATCACACATCTCCAAATACTTTTTCAATTTCGAAGGTGATTGTTGAGTGAGGATTCCAAATAAAAACGAAAATTGGTAGCCGTTTCATGGGGGCTGCTATCTTGTCTCCAAAAACCGGCACCAGGTTTCGTTTTCTAACGGGTCGATCCGTAGATCCCAAGTCAGGGAGCCTGACCTTCTGTTGGTCTCTTACTTACGACAAGCATGAGTTGCTGAAGACCCGGATCAATCTCATTGAAATCATTGCTATTGCATTTATATTGCTATAAACAAAGATCTGACGACATCCAATTACGGGTCACGTCAGACCTACCTTTCGTGAACTTTGACCGACCAATGGAATGACTGACAATAAGTCGACATGAGCCAATCAGAAGGCAGCTTTCTCGTGCTTTGCGGTACTAGTTTCGACACAAAACAAAACAACATTCTGGAATGGCTAATACATGGCCTAATTTGTATGGATTCAGTTGCAAAGCCCGTAACTGTCGTTCGGGATACCGCGTGTTAATTGTTTCTAAGTTGCAAGATTAGAAAATACATTCCGACTGTCACTTTCCTGATCTGGCAAACTACCCTCTGATTGGTTGGATGAAAGGTCGTTCTGACGTGACCCGTAATGGGATGTCCTGAGATCTTTGTTTAGCGGTAGCAAGAACTTAGACCTAATTTTAATGTGATTGAACCCTGATCTTCACGGGGGAGTACAATGTGTCATTTTAACTTTACATATAGTCAGTTGCAGCTTTACTTGAGGAATGTAAAGTTATTTCGCGACAGTTTGTTTCAGCGTTTTGCAATGTTTCATATTATAATGTTTTTAACGATTTGTCTTTTATATTTAACTTTGGCAACCACATTCGAAGAAGTCCCACAATCTTGACCTTTTTGCATAGTGTTGGTTTGTGATTGCTCATGTTTACGTGGCATCAATACAATATAGGTATGGTCGTCGATAATGAAATAGACCGCCTCCCTGGTGTTGTGGGCAGAGGTCTGTCAGGAGAGCGGAAGTTTCGTGGGTCGATCCACAGCCGCGTCATATGAAAGGTGAGGTGAGGTGAAATGGGGTTTAACGTCGCACTTATTGCACTTATATAGCGACGTGCATGCACGTGTATGTGTGTGGCTGCTTGTACTAGGCCGGACTGATGCCGATTTATAGTGCTAGCTCACTGAGATACCATGCCGCAGTTTAACATGAATACCCCACTCAGACACAGTATACTGACTCCGAGCCAACCAGTCCTTGTTTTAGCCCCTTAATGCCGAGCGCCAGACAGGGTAACAACAAGTACCATCTTTTAAGGTCTTTTGGTATGGCGCGACCGGGAATCGAACCCCGGACCTTCCGCTCTCCGGGCGGACGCTCTACCACAAGACCACGGAGGCGGTTCATATGAAAGGACATTAACAGATAGTACATGTTGGTACTCTGTGTGGCGCTCGGCATTATAAGGATTAAAGCTGCTGCTCGAGGTCAGAATATATGTGTATCCGAGTCCTCTGGCACGGTATCTCAGTGGGCTAGGAATAGTAAATAGTAAAACCAGCATTACTCCGGACTAGAACAAGCACGCACGCACACACACACACACACACACACACACACACACACACACACACACACACACACACATGGATGGTCGTCTTTATGTGAGTGAAATAATCTAAATCGCGACGTGAGTCCTATTCCATCTCACCACACCCGTGAATGAAGTACTGTGCCAATCATAACCTTGACCCGTCTCACCCCTACCAGAGCGGGCGTTTAGGCAATCCGGATGACGTGACCGCGTCAGCCTTCATAGACTCAGTGGGACACTCACCTCCGGGATGATATCATGAGCCCAGAGGGAATAGCCAGGACCCTGCTCCAGTTGGATCCGGAAAGGCTTCCTGGTTTCTCCGATGCCGTACAAGTTGGTAGTTGGCACCCCCACTGAGATCTGTAGCATCTGGTCGGAGAAGATCAGAGGAGCGAGACTCGCGTCAAACCTTAAACAGAACAGGTTTATTGAATACGATCAGTTGAGAGCGAGAGTGACATCAAACAATCAACAGAACATTGGAATACGATCAGATGAGAGCGAGAGTGGCGTCAAACAATCAACAAAACATCGGAATACAATCCGATAAGAGCGATAGTGGCGTCAAACAATCAACAGAACATTGGAATACGATCAGATGAGAGCGAGAGTGACATGAAACAATCAACAGAACATTGGAATACGATCAGATGAGAGCGAGAGTGACATGAAACAATCAACAGAACATTGGAATACGATCAGAAGGGAGCGATAGTGACATCAAACAATCAACAGAACATTGGAATACGATCGGTTGAGAGCGAGAGTGACATCAAACAATCAACAGAACATTAGAATACGATCAGTTGAGAGCGAGAGTGGCGTCAAACAATCAACAGGAGATTGGAATACGATCAGAAGGGAGCGAGAGTGGCGTCCAATAATCAACAGAACATTAGAATACGATCAGATAAGAGCGAGAGTGGCGTCAAACAATCAACAGAACACTGGTATACGATCAGATGAGAGCGAGAGTGACGTCAAACAATCAACAGAACACTGGAATACGATAAGATGAGAGCGAGAGTGACATCAAACAATCAACAGAACATTGGATACGATCAGATGAGAGCGAGAGTGACATGAAACAATCAACAGAACATTGGAATACGATCAGATGAGAGCGAGAGTGACATCAATCAATCAACAGAACATTGGAATACGATCGGTTGAGAGCGAGAGTGACATCAAACAATCAACAGAACACTGGAATACGATAAGATGAGAGCGAGAGTGACATCAAACAATCAACAGAACATTGGATACGATCAGATGAGAGCGAGAGTGGCGTCAAACAATCAACAGAACATTGGAATACGATTAGAAGAGAGCGAGAGTGGCGTCAAACAATCAACAGAACATTGGAATACGATCAGGACAGAGCGAGAGTGGCGTCAAATAATCAACAGAACCTCGGAATACGATCAGAGTGAGTGAGTGAGTTGGGTTTAACGCCGCTTTTAACAGTATTCCAGTTATATCACGGCGTGTCAGCTTAATGTAGGAGGAAAGCCCGAAGTGGTGCAGGTCTCAGACGTTTACCAGTTCGGTGAAACCCACGAGCACGCGTATGGTGCTCACAAACCTAGAAACATAATCGGGGCGAACCGGAATACGATCAGAAGAGAGCGAGAGTGACATGAAACAATCAACAGAACATTGGAATACGATCAGATGAGAGCAAGAGTGGCGTCAAACAATCAACAGAACATTGGAATACGATCAGTTGAGAGCGAGAGGGACATCAAACAATCAACAGAACATTGGAATACGATTAGAAGAGAGCGAGAGTGGCGTCAAACAATCAATAGAACATTGGAATACGATCAGTTGAGAGCGAGAGGGACATCAAACAATCAACAGAACATTGGAATACGATAAGAAGAGAGCGAGAGTGGCGTCAAATAATCAACAGAACATTGGAATACGATCAGATGAGAGCGAGAGTGGCGTCCAATAATCAACAGAACATTGGAATACGATCAGTTGAGAGCGAGAGTGGCGTCCAGTAATCAACAGAACATTGGAATACGATCAGTTGAGAGCGAGAGGGACATCAAACAATCAACAGAACATTGGAATACGATTAGAAGAGAGCGAGAGTGGCGTCAAACAATCAACAGAACATTGGAATACGATCAGTTGAGAGCGAGAGTGGCGTCAAACAATCAACAGAACATTGGAATACGATAAGAAGAGAGCGAGAGTGACATCAAACAATCAACAGAACATTGGAATACGATTAGAAGAGAGCGAGAGTGGCGTCAAACAATCAACAGAACATTGGAATACGATCAGATGAGGGCGAGAGTGGCGTCAAACAATCAACAGAACATTGGAATACGATCAGATGAGGGCGAGAGTGGCGTCAAACAATCAACAGAACATTGGAATACGATTAGAAAAGAGCGAGAGTGGCGTCAAACAATCAACAGAACATTGGAATACGATCAGATGAGAGCGAGAGTGGCGTCAAATAATCAACAGAACATTGGAATACGATCAGATGAGAGCGAGAGTGGCGTCAAATAATCAACAGAACATTGGAATACGATCAGTTGAGAGCGAGAGGGACATCAAACAATCAACAGAACATTAGAATACGATCAGTTGAGAGCGAGAGTGGTGTCAAACCTTAAACAGAACATTGGAATACGATCAGATGAGAGCGAGAGTGACATCAAACAATCAACAGAACATCGGAATAAGATCAGAAGAGAGCGAGAGTGACATCAAACAATCAACAGAACATTGGAATACGATCAGTTGAGAGCGAGAGTGGCGTTAAACAATCAACAGAACATCGGAATACGATCAGATGAGAGCGAGAGTGACATCAAACAATCAACAGAACATCGGAATACGATCAGATGACAGCGAGAGTGGCATCAAACAATCAACAGAAGATTGGAATACAATCAGTTGAGAGCGAGACTGGCGTCCAACAATTAACAGAACACTGAGACGATCAGTTTAGAGCGAGAATGGCGTCAAACAATCAACAGAACATAGGAATACGATCAGAAGAGAGCGAGAGTGACATCAAACAATTAACAGAACATTGGAATACAATTAGAAGAGAGCGAGAGAGTCGTCAAACAATCAGCAGAAGATTGGAATACGATCAGATGAGATCGAGACTGGCGTCCAACAATTAACAGAACACTGAGACGATCAGTTTAGAGCGAGAGTGGCGTCAAACAATCAACAGAACATAGGAATAAGATCAGTTGAGAGCGAGAGTGGCGTTATACAATCAACAGAACATCGGAATACGATCAGATGAGAGCGAGAGTGACATCAAACAATCAACAGAACATCGGAATACGATCAGATGACAGCGAGAGTGGCATCAAACAATCAACAGAAGATTGGAATACGATCAGTTGAGAGCGAGAGTGGCGTCCAACAATTAACAGAACACTGAGACGATCAGTTGAGAGCGAGAATGGCGTCAAACAATCAACAGAACATAGGAATACGATCAGAAGAGAGCGAGAGTGACATCAAACAATTAACAGAACATTGGAATACAATTAGAAGAGAGCGAGAGTGTCGTCAAACAATCAGCAGAAGATTGGAATACGATCAGATGAGATCGAGACTGGCGTCCAACAATTAACAGAACACTGAGACGATCAGTTTAGAGCGAGAGTGGCGTCAAACAATCAACAGAACATAGGAATAAGATCAGAAGAGAGCGAGAGTGACATCAAACAATTAACAGAACATTGGAATACGATTAGAAGAGAGCGAGAGTGGCGTCAAACAATCAACAGAACATCGGAATACGATCAGATGACAGCGAGAGTGGCATCAAACAATCAACAGAAGATTGGAATACGATCAGTTGAGAGCGAGACTGGCGTCCAACAATTAACAGAACACTGAGACGATCAGTTTAGAGCGAGAATGGCGTCAAACAATCAACAGAACATTGGAATACGATCAGAAGAGAGCGAGAGTGACATCAAACAATTAACAGAACATTGGAATACAATTAGAAGAGAGCGAGAGTGTCGTCAAACAATCAGCAGAAGATTGGAATACGATCAGATGAGATCGAGACTGGCGTCCAACAATTAACAGAACACTGAGACGATCAGTTTAGAGCGAGAGTGGCGTCAAACAATCAACAGAACATAGGAATACGATCAGAAGAGAGCGAGAGTGACATCAAACAATTAACAGAACATTGGAATACGATTAGAAGAGAGCGAGAGTGGCGTCAAACAATCAACAGAACATTGGAATACGATCAGATGACAGCGAGAGTGGCGTCAAACAATCAACAGAACATTGGAATACGATCAGATGACAGCGAGAGTGGCGTCAAACAATCAACAGAACATTGGATACGATCAGATGAGAGCGAGAGTGACATGAAACAATCAACAGAACATTGGAATACGATCAGATGAGAGCGAGAGTGACATCAATCAATCAACAGAACATTGGAATACGATCGGTTGAGAGCGAGAGTGACATCAAACAATCAACAGAACACTGGAATACGATAAGATGAGAGCGAGAGTGACATCAAACAATCAACAGAACATTGGATACGATCAGATGAGAGCGAGAGTGGCGTCAAACAATCAACAGAACATTGGAATACGATTAGAAGAGACGAAGATCAGAGTATGCCGCCTGGCGTCTAACATTCAACAGACATCCTTTTCACAGAGTTCGATGGCTCACAGAACACTCTTTGTTGACTTCCTGGTGACGGTGAGGCCGAAGGGGTTGTGCTCGATGGTGAAGGAGTAATCAGTTTGTTGCGAAGAACCGGATGCCTTGTTGAGCGGTAGAGGAACTTCATAGCGCTTGTTGTTGGGGTCGTATATCTGAAAAGAGTAAATGTGTCACGTCGGGTGTGAATTCTATGCTGCTTAACGCCGTACTCAGTAACATTCCAGATTTTTTACGGCGGCCTGTGAATTTAATAGTCTGGACCATATGACTATGAGCAACGTCCCACGTCGTCGGGATCCGATGATGTGGAATCCCACTAAATAGTTAGGGTTTATTTTCGTCATTTTGAATAATATTTCAGTTCAGTGACGGGCAATCATTTTACTCTGCGATCGAAACTGACAGATCAAGGATTATTACCACGAGTGCTTTTTTGTTTTTGTTTGTTGTTTAACGCCGGACTCAGCAATATTCCAGCTATATGACGGCGGTCTGTAAATAATCAGACCAGACAATCCAGTGATTGATAGCATGAGCATCAATCGAAGCAATTAGGATCGATGACATGCATTAACCAAGTCAGCGAGCCTGACCACCCGATCCCATTAGTCTTCTCTTACGACAAGCATAGCTGCCTTTTACGACAAGCATAGTCGCCTTTTACGACAAGCATAGTCGCCTTTTACGGCAAGCATGGGTTGCTGAAGACCTATTCTACCCCGGATCTTTACGGGTCTACCACGAGTGAGTGAGTGGGTGAGTTGCTGAGTGGGTTTGAGTGTTACCATTTATTTACCATTTTGGTGCAAATATGAGCACGAGTCTGGTGCCAACAAACCAAGGATCATGTTTATAGGCGTTGCTTCGAACCCACGACCTTCAGCTTTGACAGCAAAGGGGCGCAACTCAGTGCAAAGATTGTGTTGACAGACCACCGCGAAAATATATAAAATTAGTATTTGAATATTGTGGGCAGATATCACATTTACAAAATTACTTTAAATCGGAGTCTACTGCTTGTCTCCTCGACCACGTCAGCCTGTAGATCCATAACGTCATCAGGCCAGTGGGTATGTTGGCTTCTTGTCAACAGCACGGACCTGCCATTGTTTATTACTTTCTGTACAGAGTAGTCTTCCCCTGGCGGGTAGAAACAGTAGGGGGCGCCCTTCACGTTGGTAGTCTGCCAGCAGCAACCACGTGACAAACAGGCAGCCTCTGTGACGCCTGTCTCTGGGTAACAATCACTCCTTTAATAAAAAGGGAAAAATTCAATCGTCTGAGTGTAAGTCTCCCATATACTTGGCGAGAGCTCTTTAAACCTCACTGGAATGTGGGTCACTTGTAAGACATAAACGACTCGTAGTCGTTGTTTTTCGCAGCCTAAATCAAATCAAATGGAGACCAGCACTAGCTTAATTTCAGACAAGAGCAGCCAGAATCTAGACTTGCCAAATCATTCTAGATTTGACTTTGATTCGTTTTTCCCATTTATTCTCATATCTCGGAGGCAGGATAGATCACATCAGATAGATTTGGCTAAAAAAGCAAATGAAATATTTATCGGGCATCGACCCGTCACTTAAAACCCTGAGTATCAGTCTTTTTATTGGTAATCAATATGTTTCACGGCATCATACAAAGCAAAATGAATTGTAGAAATATAATATTTATGTAGTTTATGCGGCCCGCGTTGGTTTAATACCACGAGTCGTACAGACGCATAAAGTCAAATATAACCTCCGTAATATTGCTTCACCGAATTTAGCTTGCCGACATGTTTCAATCTGCCATAGTTAAATAATTAAAACAAATTGAAGATTGATGGGAAAACAGCTGTTCGAATGAGCTGAGGTTAACTTGTGCTTTGTCACGTGACTGTCATTGACTCGTCATTGTCATTGACAACAGGCGGGATACGTAGAAGTTTGTCAAGATCACGTGAACAGATCACATCTCAACATTGAGTTGAAGTAATTTTCAGATAAACTGTTACCCCTGCTTGAATTTCACGACTGAGATTGTATTAAAGGATTAAGAGATCAACCGAGTTGTGCCTGCCTCGTTATATTTTTGTTTTCAATTTTAATTGGGTGAGGTGAAATGGGGTTTAACGTCGCGTCCAAGATTATTGCACTTATATAGTGACGTGCATGTACGTGTGTGTGTGTGTGGCTGCTTGTACTAGTCCTGACTGATGCCGATTTATAGTGCTAGCTCACTGAGATATCATGTCGCAGTTTAACATGAATACCCCACTCAGACACCGTATACTGACTCCGAGCCGACAAGTCCTTGTTTTAGCCCCTTAATGCCGAGCGCCAGACAGGGTAACAACAAGTACCATCTTTTAACGTCTTTTGGTATGACGCAGCCGGGAATCGAACCCCGGACCTTCCGCTCTCCGGGCGGACACTCTACCACTAGACCACGGAGGCGGTCCAATCTTAATGAGAAAAAAAAATTAAAATACGACTCAGCACCCTCATCACTTTTGAGAAGAATGTGCCCGAAAAAACGTTTAATTGTTTCTGCAGCCGTATCATACCGTCATCACTTAGAGAGACCGCCTTCGTGGTGTGGTGGATAGAACCATTAGTCATATCTTCGTTTCGGAAGTGACGTCACTATCCCTATATCTCTTATCACTAAGTTCTCTTATCGCTATGGCAGCATATGGGTCAAGGATACATACTGTAAATCTGGAACGTTTTGTGCCATGAAAACACTGCGAGCGGCTAACAATAGCACCAACTGCGTTTTGCGCACACCCTGTTAAGATTATCAGAGACCAAAGTTACCTTTGCACCTGTTATATTTTACAACTTATTTGCCCCTGTGATGTCTGGACTACTCGGGGTTCATACAAATGTCACAACAGAATGGAGATATACTTAGTTTTCGAAGAATCATATTTGGATTATATCAAAAAACATCCAACAAATATTGGAATATCCCGGAACACAACGATTGGGTAACCCCTGTAGGACCTTAGTTTCATAACGAACGGACAGATGCATGCAGTCATGGGCACGGTGTACAGGAGGTGCGTCAAACCTCTGTTGAATGTATCGTGACAGAATCCTGTCAGTTACCAGCATGGCATGGAATCGACACCACACATTTGGATCAGCTACTCAGCAACATTCAGGTGGTCGACAGCGTTCCACCACAAAGCTTTGATTGCAGCAAGACGGCATCACTTTGTGACTGCCACCACACTCAGAAATGACCTGCAGAACACCAGTGGCGTTAACGTTTCTACTCGGTTAGTGCGTAATAGTCTCCGTTAGACTGGTCTCCGGTCGCGGAGGGCATGCATTTGCATCTCAATGACCCGACCTTAAAGGCAGGCACGTTTGAATTGGGCTGAAGGTCACGTCAATTGGCAGACCAAGACTGGGTTCCAGTACTTTTCACTGATGAATCGAGATACTGTCTAGACTTCACAGATCGTCGTGCCCGATGGTCGTGCCGAGGAGAAATATTTCTGGATTCCAACGAAGCCCAACATGACCTCCGTGGAGGGAGCTCAATCATGAATTTGGGTGGGATTAGTAGAGCTGGAAGAACCGATCTCCATGTCCTACAGATGGCCACGATGTCAGGTATGTGCTACAGGGATAACATTCTGGGTGTGTACGTGAGACCGTATGCTGGTGCAATCGGACCGAACTTCAACCTCATGGACGATAACGCACGACCTCGTCACCCCAGTGTCGTCGATGCCTACTTGATGACAACTGTCCGCATGGAGCGGCCAGCCTGGTCACCAGACCTCAACCCTATCGCCCTCTCATGACGCCTTGCGGCAAGTCTACGGAAACTCGGCAATGCGCTTACTGAAGAGTGGTGAACCATCCAGACACGCCAGAATGTCATCGCATCATGTAGATTACATACGCGCTGTTGAGAGTTGTTTTTAGTTTTTTAACAATGAATCAGTTTTCGTGATTTTTTTAAGTTTCGGTTTTGGCCAGATACTCTCATTTTGATGGGTGATCTTATTGATTATTGGTCACAAGTTGTTTGTTGGTATTGGTATTTGTATTGGCACATGACAACAGATTTTAGTTCATAAAACATGTCTACACGCAATATTGTCTTTCAACAGATGGTGATACTTTCTAAACGCGTGATAATCGAGGATAATAGGCCGTGTCATCCCTGGTATGGTAAGGACGGGACGTACCTGCGTGACGTACCTGCGTGACGTACCTGCGTGACGTACCTGCGTGACGTACCTGCGTGACATACCTGTGTCACGTACCTCTGTCCACTGGTGAGACTTACCTGTGTTCGCCTGTGAGATGACACTGGGGTGAGTCCTGGTCACGATTTACGAAAACACGCCCGGTGCCGTTACCATGGACACCAAACCCGTGCACCCAGGCCTGTAACGCCAGTGCCGCTATCACAGCTTCATGCACGCCAAGTCTCTGAGGCCGCCACATGGTGTGGAGTTGCTTGGAGTGAATGACGCTGTGCAGTAAGAGCCTCATATATATATGCCTCATCTTTGACCTCGAACACCCGTTACTTCTCATAGTCTGGCACTGCACAGATGACTTCGTCATCTAGAGGTGAATAGCTAGAGACACAGTGTCACATACGGGACACAGTGTATTTGGACTGCAGCGATGAGCTTTGGCCATATAAAGTGAAACTTCGTCCATCCGGACGACTCTACCCAACCAATGAAATAGTCCGCAAAAACGAATCACCTCGTTCATCCGGACGGCTCTCCTTCAAATGAAATCTTCCGCATTTACGAATCACCACGTTCATCCGAACGGCTCTCCTCCCAATAAAATCGTCATCTGGACGACTCTACCCCTTCCACCCCCACCCACCCCCCACCCCACTTCCACACCCTCCGCTCCCAATGAAATCGTCGGCGTTAACAAATCACCTCGTTCAACCGGACGGCTCCCCTCCCAATGAAATCGTCATCGGAGAGGGCCAAAAACGACCCTTGACACGTGAAGCTCCGGGGTAAAAGAGGTCTTCACCAAGAGGCGACTAACGGGATCGGGTGATCAGGCTCGCTGACTTGGTTGATGCATGTCATCGTATCCCAATTGCGTGGATCGATGCTCATGATATCAATCACTGGATTGTCTGGTCTCGACTCGATTATTTACAGACTTCCGTCATTTCGCTGGAATATTTCTGAGGGCGGCGTTAAGCAACAAACAAATAAAAAAAAAATGCCCTTATCATACGTTGTTCTTGAGAAATAAATTAGAAGTGTCTTCGTGGCTTAGGTTTTCCAAGAAGACTTGTCATTTCACTGATAAGATGACCAATGTGGAGAAAAATATTTTTACATGTAGCTTATCTTGTAGTATTGCTTCAAGGGTAGTCCTGCACCATGACCGTGGAATATATTTATTTTATGGAGAAAATAATAATCTAGAAACGCATACAAAAGCAAGTCCGGCCAGCTCAGTGAGTGAGTGAATATTGCTTAACGCCGCATCAGCAATTTTGCAGCTATTCGCGGCGACCAGCCAGCTCAAGCTAGCTCTATTCTAAAATCAGCATAGGGATTTTTATTTTTATTTTTAGAGTCAAGAAGGATATTGTGTAATATAAGATTTCAGAGACTAAATGTTAGTCTACTTCAGGGGCGGTGGTGTAGCCTAGTGGTTAAAACGTTCGCTCGTCACGACGAAGGCTCAGGTTCGAATCCCTACATGGGTACAATGAAACCAATTTCTAGTTTCCCCCGCCATGATATTGCTAGAATATTGCTATAAGTGGCATAAAACAATACTCGCACACTCACTCAATAGTAGTGCTTCAAAGCTTCCAATACTACTGTGTAAATAAAGAAAATACTAAGAAATTCCCATTTTTTTACAAATCGATTCTCTTCTTGATTTTCCTTCTTCGGGAACTTCAGATTCCTTGGCAATGCATGGTTAGTTCTTCGTAAACATTTTACATACACACAAGAAAGTATACACCATGTTTTATGGCGGCTAGAAATGAAACAAACAACATATGGTTATTCGATGGGGGTGCATTTGATACGGGTATCACACATGTTCTTCGTAAACATTTTACATACACACAAGAAAGTATACACCATGTTTTCTGGTGGCTAGACATGAAACAAACAACGAATGGTTATTCGATGGGGGTGCATTTGATACGGGTATCACACATGTTCTTCGTAAACATTTTACATACACACAAGAAAGTATACACCATGTTTTCTGGTGGCTAGACATGAAACAAACAACGAATGGTTATTCGATGGGGGTGCATTTGATACGGGTATCACACATGTTCTTCGTAAACATTTTACATACACACAAGAAAGTATACACCATGTTTTCTGGCGGCTAGAAATGAAACAAACAACAAATGGTTATTCGATGGGGGTGCATTTGATACGGGTATCACAGTTGAGTTTTGGACCTAACGTTTGCAAGGTTTCGGCGACTGCTTTCAGCCTAGTAACAGTTTTATAACGTTTGTAATTTTGGGGTCAAATCCAACTTTCAAGGGTATACTTTCTTTTGTCCGGACTTTTATGTTAAACTAAGCAGGAAACCCATCTGCTACATCTTGTGGGGTACCTGGTCCTGGATCATCTTCCCGAGGCAAGAGTGAGTGAGTGAGTGAGTATGGTTTTACGCCGCTTTTAGCAATATTCCAGCAATATCACGGCGGGGGACACCAGAAATGGGCCTTACACATTGTACCCATGTCGGGCCGAGGCAAGGGAGTTAACTGACTACAAAAGTCCAGTTTCCACCCTTGCCGAACTAGGCTGGAATTACTGGGCTCGATCGTAGCGCCGCCAATGGTTATTATGTGTTATGTCCCCTCTGAGGCTCTCCTATGGACCAATCCGATTCCATCACTTGCATTTGTTTCAAACAAAATGGCGGCGCCCAGTCAAGACGATCTGATCGATAATCAAGATCTATATTGTGATAAAACGGGTCTTACATCGCGATGTGCATCAAATCACGCGAGCACCTTCATTAAAAACATGAAAAGGTTGGGAAAATATCTGTTGACAGCGAGTTGGCGGTGTGCATGCTTTGCAAATCCTGCAATCGACCGAAATCTGCACGACATTTTACGAACCGGATTTCGATTTCGTTGCGCGATTTTGATTGGACTATGCATAGACTCGTTAGTCCAGCCAAAATGTAACTCCATAATACCAGCCTAGTTCGGCAAGGGTGGAAACTGGACTTTTAAAGTCAGTTAACTCTCTTACCTCGGGAAGATAGTCCTGGATAGGTCCAAAGTCTTCCTTGATCGTCACAAGAGTCGACTAGATTAATCCGGTCAGGCCTCCGTGGAGAGAGCGTCTGCCCCCAGAGCGGAAGGTCGGTGGTTCGATCCCATGTCATACCAAGAGACGTTCAAAGATGGTACTTGTTGTTGCCCTGTCTGGCATTATGGGGATGGAACAACGACTGGTCGGCTTGCAGTCAGTTTACTGTGTCTGAATGGGTATTCATCTTAAACAGCGGCTTGGTATCTCAGTGGTCTAAAATTATAAAAGACGTCCGGACCAGTACAATCATCCGTGCATGCATGTCACTATATAAGTGCAATAATCTTGAAGGGGAGTTTAACGACCATATCACTGGGTGGTCAGGCTATGCGACTTTGCCGTCATGCTGTCGTGTCGTCGTGCCGTCGTGTCGCCGTGTCCAGATGACGGGGATCGTGGATCGTGATTCAACCCCGTAGAGATTCCATGTTCCATGGTAGAATTGATCCCTATAGCAGACCTGTGAAGATCCGGGGTAGAATAGGTCTTCAGCAACCCATGCTTGTCGTAATGAGGCGACTAACGGGATCGGATGGTCAGGCTCTCTGACTTGGTAGATGCATATCATCGTTCCCAATTGCGTGGATCGATGTTCATGATATTAATCACTGGATTGTCTGGTCCAGACTCGATTATTTACAGACCGTCGTCATATAGCTGGAATGTTGCTGAGTGCGGCGTTAAACAACAAACCAACCATAGTAGCTTCCGATCCGATTGTCGACTAAATGGATGTCAGGCTCTGTTGCCATTCGTCACCAATGCCGAAAAAATCTAATTTATTTATTTTCAGAGATAAGATGACTAACATAACCATCAGCAGTTGTGTAATATGCGATTTAAAAAAAATATAAATAAATAAATAAATGTTTTGATCAAATTATTTTAAAAAAATAAAACCATGTGGAAGTATTCTTTGCGTGCTGACTAAGCAACAGTACAGTTCATTTTTTTGTTGCAAATATCCCTAAGGTAAGATATTTTCAATACAAAATAAAAAAACATGATAAATCAACTGAGAGGTATAGATTATTTTGAGAGAGGTGGTGGTAATAGTTTCGTTGTAGAATGTTGGACAGCGCAAAGGGGATATATTTAGAGAGAGCAGTTTGGCAGAAGAAAAAACTCCACTTGAGCTCATGGTCGATTTTCTACTGTATCAGCACTTATTTTCAGTGATTCATTCGTATATTTATTTTAAAAACTATTTTGCCTTTTACACCCCGTGGAATGTGTTTCGGTGGATAATCGAGACATTATTATTAGGCTTTGACGTTATATATCTAATTAGAACTTCAGGATACTGATACTACGATCCAAGTTAGTTAATTTTATGCATGGGGAAGTCCAAGCATTGTCCAACTTTATATGTCACACTGCTTATGCAATACACGCAAACATCAATCAATGTGCATTGTGGCATTCCGAAAAGGACGCAATGAAAACAAAATGGAAATGGAAAGTTAGTTTTACAAAAATTGTTTTCGGTGTCCAAATGATCGGAAATAGGCGTTACCATTGTACTTTATATTGTTGTCAAACTTTCCACATAAACAACCTGTTGCTTATAGGAAAATGTAGCAATATTATTGACAAACAGTAGAATTGATCTCGAGGCGTTTTACCTAACTTCACTCCCTCACTCATATGTTACTCAAAATAACCTCTCAATTTTAACATAATGAAATGAGACATGCGGGGAGATATTATCTCTCTACTCACATTCTCTCACAACCAGCAGAGAGGGGGGGGGGGGAGAGAGAGGGGGAGAGGGAGAGAGAGAGAGAGGAGTTGTTTACGGGCAGACGAATCTGAATTATTTCAGACTGCGGCAGAAAAACAATTTCAGTCAATGAAAACGTCAAGATCTATAAATACATTTATTCAACATCAACAACAGCGGTTGTCGGAGAGTGGCATATATTGATGGCAGGGTATTTCCTTTTAAAAAATACCGCTTTGACAATGCAGTTGCGTATTCATGTGAAACTCACTCCTGATTGGTGTGTATATTTCATATCCGCCTATTAATACCAATCGTCAATGGTCGCACCGTCGAAAATAAAAGGTTTTGATTGGACTGACGAACCCTGTGGCTATAATTAGGGGATTCCCCTTTTGCCTTGCAGTGACGTCACAGCCAATGGGATTCATCTTCCGGGTTGACAGATCAGTTCCATTTGTGATTCCACAACTTGCGCGGAGAAGAGTGAGGATCGTTCTACAAGTTGTCATTTCAGTGTATAACGCGTGTGACGATGAAATTCACATCGGGCGAGTTGCCTGATGATGTTGAAGAGGACGGGACGTGTGATTTTATTGACGCTGACAAGAAACTGGATAATATGACATCAACAGGTTAGTGTTGGTTTCGATCGCATCCGTCTTGAAATGTTTTCTGGGTCGGGGCAGTGAAAATGTTCACTTCCCCTTCGTCCGCAATACTTTAATCAGATTATTCGTCCTTGTCAGTAAACAGGAATCCCCTGTTACCATGGACGGATACTAGAATACTCGATTAAATATATAAAGTCGCATTTGCGTATTCACTGCTTGAAAAACGGTTTCGCAAATTTTCGTATTCGCAATCTTCACTAAATTACGAAACTTGTTAGATGTATAGTTGGTACTATGGGTACCTTATATAACGTCATAGCACTAATAAATATTTGCCATCGAGATACAAAAAAAGACATTTAACGAGTGACCTCTCGTTTCAATTTCCTGTTCAGTGTTTGTTTTGATTCAAATGATATTTGTTTATTACCATAACAGTTCGATGACAATAGGGGCAAATCAACATTGGAAACTATACATCCTGATATACTAGTATATAGACCAGAGACCATTATACCCACCGGCATAGTGTCTACAGCCTAGCTGAATAAGATCGTATATCTCCCATGGGTGACAGCTGGTCACGTGATTGCTGCGTCACAACTGTTACCGTTTGACCTACATGTCGGGGAATGAGCCTGACACAGCCCGTGTGACAGCTCATGCATAGCTAAGGATAGTTCACTGTGTATGTATTGTCGGCCATTGTTAGTTTTATCTGCCTGAGCGTAATCCGGCAAGCATCGCTGCTGAAGTAACCAGCTGGTAATAGTACCGTTATCTCTGCGTATCAGGTATGTTGGACTGTCCCGTTAACACTGGTCAGCTATCATATCCTTGGCGAGAGATTCTCACGTCCAATGCTGGAGAGAGGCAAGGCAAGATCGTCACGATGTGTTGACAATTTAGTCACGTACATACGCAATTTGCGCGTTGCATTTACCGAGGTGTTGTTTTGAAACAGAAAATTACGTCCAATCTTGTGCTTGTCAACCAGTTTAACGTGATAGGGTGTTATATGACATAATTTAATGTGTTGCATGATGTCGTTTGATCACATGTTGATAAGCTCACAGCAGTTTGTATTATACCATCACTACTCCTCTTCATCTTCAGCTTCAGCTGTACATTGTACTACATTTTTATATTTTACTGTTAAATGGCAGACCCATAGCGGTAGTGGGCGTGTTGTCACAATTCTGTCACCATATATTGCATATAAGCTATTCTATGCCTTTCATGTACAAATAAAATGTGTCCTTGTAATCTATTTATTATATGAAGCAACTAAAATATGTTGAGTGAGTATGCCGCTTTCAGCAATATTCCAGCAATATCACATTGGGGGACATCAGAAATGGGCTTCACACAATGTACCCATGTCGGGAATCGAACCTGGGTCTTGGGCGTGACGAGCAAACGCTTTAACCACCAGGCTACCCAACCGTCCCCTGTTTTTAACTGGTTGTTATGTTTTAATGTTTCATATCTTTATTGTTTAATCACAAACAGAAAAGTAAAAGAAATTCAAATTTAAACATCTTGTTGGTTTGGTTATGTTGAAAACTGTCACAATTTTAGTGAACAAGTGGTAGAGATATTAGCTGTGTGTTTCTGTGATGTAAATATTGTACAATAGGAATACAAGTTGTACTATGCTAGCCTTACACATGAGGCTAATAATCTCTTTGCCAATACAATCTCAATACAAAGGTTTAGCATGTGTTCCATCCACTGATGTGATTTCCGTTTGCAAAAGTTTTATATGAATACGATGCTAACAAATAATAAAGGTCAAGGTCAAGGTCACATTCTTATCGGGTATCATTACAGTGAATGACATCACATAGTGCAGATTGATATCAACCAATTGTTAGAATCACAGAATCCCCAAGACATCGTGTAGCCCTATCCCGACTTAAGGAATCTTAGTCAACAGTTTATTGAGCAAGTAGGTATTACGTCAATGTATGGAGCGAAATATGAGTAGTTCCATCAAGGGGACCTTATTTGCATATTCAGTAGATCACGGTACCATTTGTTCTCTTTGTTGTTTAACGCCGCACTCGGCAATATTCCAGCTATATGACAGCGGTCGTAAATAATCAAATCTGGACCAGACAATCCAGCATCGATCCACGCAATTGGGATACGGTGACATGCATCAACCAAGTCAGCGAGCCTGACCACCAGATCCCGTTAGTCACCTCTTACGACAAGCATAGTCGCCTTTTAAGACAAGCATGGGTTGCTGAAAACGTATTGTAGACCAGATCATGGTACCAAGTTTATTGGATTGTTTTTTTGCATGGATAACACTAGTTTTTGATAAACTATTATAAAAATATCATGATTATTATAAAATTCATATTGCCATGTGGAATATTTATTTTATTTTATTTACATTTTGATAATGATATGTTATTGTAAAATTGTGGAACATGTTTTCTAATTAAAACACACTGTTCAACTGATCTTATAGTATGAGCTGACATGTTGTAAGATATTTCTTTGATGTTTCAGGAAAGCCTCTTTTGACCGACCGAAATGGGGAAGTAGAGGAGGCGCTATCAAAGGGAGGTAACTCAGAGGTGAACACGAACAATAACAACATGTCCCGAACACAGAGTATTCCTCAACCAACCGAACATGGCCTCTCTGATTCCGAAGACAACACAACCGGAACAACCCCTGATTCGCTGGTCACTGCCCTTTCCAAGGTCACAATTTCAGACAAGGTCAAATCTGTTGCGGAAATCAAACCAGCGAGCGAGGTCGATGACCTGAGCAGCAAAATCTCCAATGTGACGTTGGATGAGAAGCCCGGCGTGGAGGGCGGAGAGCAGTACACCGAAATAAAGGAATCGGAAATCACTACGCTGGCGGAGATTGAAAAGAGGAAGAAAGAGGAAGCGGAGACCGAAAAACCTAAAGAAAGAGGCCCCAACCATGGAATTCCCAAAAACCACAAACCACATGTTGACCGATACGACCATGTCGCTAGCAAGAACTACCCAACTAGCGTCAGCCAACAACTCTGTAGCCAGTTTCCTGGTAATTACAGTCAATCTCAACAGATGTACAACAACAATATGGTTTGTCAGCAACGGTCCACCATGAATGGATACCAACAAGGAGTGACGAAACGCTCCCGTGATGAATATGACCAACAGCCTTATAAGTATACAAAGCCTGTTGAACCGATCAACAACCTCAGTGACCCATCCAAGACACTATCTTCAAATCTGACTTTCTCAAATGTGGTTTCAACAAAGGGTTTTTCCGGTGGCCAGGTGATGGTGAACAGCCCCGACATAGAGTCTTTGATTCCTAGTTTCCCGTGTGGGGACACGGCAAATTCGGGTGAATTTGATATTCTCAATTTGCTGAGTCAGGGCGAGGAGTCTCTCAAGGATCCAGAAAGAAGCATGTGCTCGGAGATCCTGGCAAACGTCCCCCCATACTCCCTTCAGCACGGTTACCATAACAACATCATGCGTCAGAATCCCCAACTGGTCCAAGGGTCGTATCTGGATCAGACTCAAGTCAATGTCAACCCCATGATGGAGAATATTTGGCGCCAGAAAGGAGGGGAGAACCGAACAAGCTTCTCTGCAGAGGACTCCGCCAGTGAGGGCTACATAAGCGAGGGAGCTAGCAGTCCCTACAGCCCCTACAGTGACATTCAGGACTCCCCGACCGAGCAGACCATGTACTCCCCTCCCCCTTCCGTCGACAGCGGTGCTTGCATGATGTCAGCTTCAAGTCCGGGATCCGCTATCGATATCGGAAGTCCGAGGAGCTCCACGATGGGGTTCGAGTCGAATGTTGATGTGTATGACAGCAGCTCCAGACTTCCCCCTACTCCTACAACCTCCCATCAGACTGTCCAGACCAATCATGGGTATACCCCTCCGACGCCAGGCTTTCAGAGCAATATGGCTTACCAGGGCCTGGAGTATCAAGTCACAGGAGGACCAGTTAACGCAGTACATCAAACTGGATACTTGCAAACCGCTGGGGTTGCCCCAGGTAAAGAAATGGGTCAAAATAGCAGTTATATTGATAACAATTTGGAGACATTTTTGGATGTTATTGAAACCATTGGGGAGGACCTGGTTAAGGCTGAACACAAGAAGAAACAGAAGACTCTCACGAAAGGAATACAAGAAACGGTGGTACCAGTTCAGAAGCAAGCACCTGTTCCCCTGCAACAGAAACTGCCTGCTACTAGTCAGTCTGGTCCCAGGAAGAACGTCCCGGTGGCCAGTGTCCAGCCCAATCAGATTCATCGTCAAGTTCCGACCACCAGCACGCCGGTCCTGTTGGTAAAGCAGACTCCAAGTACGATGGGGGTTCCGATATCGGTCGCCCCGAGTGTCGTCAATTCTCAGCAGATGAAGGTGTCCTCTCAATCTCCTGTCCCCAACGGTCAGATCCTTGTCATACCTGCCACGCCCCAAATCGTGTTTGTTGCATCACCCCCTCAACCCCCAGCAAAGAAGACCCCCACATATAGGTCGATACGCCCTAAGATTCAACCAAATCCTGTTCCGGGGATAGCTCCCGCCTCTGACTCTAGAAATGTGACCTTGAGTTCGTCTCCAAAGTCTGTGACAACACCCAAACCAGCCCAACCATCATGCCCAGTGTCTCCCATGACTGGTGGCCAAGTCTCACAGTGTCCCAACAAGCCTCAGCCTTCAAGTAAGTGTACAAAAGTTTTTGAAGTACCGTATTCGACATAATAAGCGCCAACGGCGATATTTGCTAATATATTGGCACGTGAACAATCCCAGTTAGCACCCCTTCCAATTGATCAATGTACACAAGACTTATTTATTCGTGTATAATACACACTCCAGTGTTATATGCACCCTTAATTATGGGCAATTAAATTCTGGAAAAATGTATCTGTCGTATATAAACAGTTCAGACTGTCTGCATAAACCACGAAATTTACCTTTCAACTCTTTTTCCACCAAAGTAATATTCTAATAAGACCCCCCTATTTCTAATTTTGAGAGCGCTCTGGGCGCTTATTACTTTGAATACGGTATGTCAAACCCATGATGGCATGACAAAATAGTCAGTACACATCAGAGATACGGAGAATTTCACCTGTGCGTCTCTTGACATCAAATACATCAACACAAATCAATAAAAGTTTAAACTCAAGTCTTGCCAAGGGTTTTAACTTTTATCGACAAGCATTGATATATTTCTAGTGGTTTAGTGGCAGAGAGCGAAGGTTCAGGGTTCGATCCCCGGCCGTGTCATACCAAAAGATGTTAAATGATGGTACTTAATTATTGCATTTGCTAGATCGCCAAATCAAGATGATTAAGACATCCTCCGTGGTCTAGTGGTAAAGCCTCTTCCCGGAGAGCGAAGGTTTAGGGTTCGATCCCTGGCCGCGTCATACCAAAAGACCTTAAAAGATGGTACTTGTTGTTACCCTGTCTGGCGCTCGGCATTAAGGGGCTAAAACAATGACTGGTCGGCTAGGAGTCAGAATACTGTGTCTGAGTTAGGTATTCATGTTAAACTGAGGCATGGTATCTCAGTGGGTTAGCGCTATAAATCGGCATCAGTCCGTACTGATATAGGATATGCGAGGATATATCTATATAGTCTAGTAACATTAATTGCAGCATAATTCAAGTCACAAATCAAATATTTTCCAATGTGTGACAATGAAATATCTCTGAAAATTAGCAAAATCTCATCACACGTCAAAAAATCTCACTGCTTTTGGACCATGTCAGATTTTCTCTCATGGGTAAAACTTTTCAGGATAATCTCTGTAGAAGATATTGTGAACCCTGCAAGTATAATGTATTGACCACAATATTTTTCTTTCCAGCTCCAAAGACAAATGTTAACCAGTTAAACATTGCTCGGAGATGTGTGGCGACAATGACTGCAGAAGAGCTCAAGTGCACGGACCAAGATGGAGACACGTAAGTTGGATTAGAAACTTGGAAACTTGCCCCTAGAATTGTCCCAGGACATGTGGGAATTAGACCATGTAGACTGACTGGGATTAACGTCGACCTCATGGGGATTCAAAGGACGTCCTAAATATTTCATGCTTGTCGATACCAAATATGTCAAACAATATGGGAAAACAGTCAGGTCTTAGGGAGTGTGTCATCCATTGTTACGTCATGGTTTTTAACCAATCAGGAAATTCGAATACATTTACTTCTTTCGCAGCAAAGGTCAACGAGGGAAATTATGCCAACTCTGTCATACAAATGATCATAGTCAAAAAAGGGATTGAATTACAGTCAATGCATAGGCAAGTAGCCTGATTCAAGTAGCCTGAGGCCCGTGTCAAGTAACATTCTGGTCAGTCTAGTAAGTCTGCGGCTTAAGCCAATGGTCCGAAGCCCGAATCAAGTAACTTTTTGGTCAGTCTAGTAAGTCTGCATCTTAACCACCGGTCCGAAACTAGAATCAAGTAACTTTCTGGTCAGTCTAGTAAGTCTGCAGCTTAAGCCACTGGTCCGAAGCCCGAATTAAGTAACTTTCTGATCGGTCTAGTAAACTCTGCCAGTAATTCTTCATTTGATAACATTAGGGCTGGCTGAAAAGATCGACAATCAAAATGTTCGTCGATGGGCTGAAATATTAACAAATATCAATATGAAACGGTTGTCTTCAATAATAACTCACATTAACTTTCATGATGAAAGAAAGTTTAGATTTACTGAAACAGTGTGGGCATTGTCAATAATGTCAATTTTCGAAGACGGAAAGCAACTGATTTTCTTATATCTCAAATGTCCACAAAGTAATCCATGCATAAACGTGTCACTGCTCACCAGTGGCTTGAAATACGTTGTTTTTTCCCAGGACTTTCTTAGTTTGAAGTTACTTTTCTGAATATTTATCAATAATTGATCGATGTTTGGTTTAGATGAGTGAGTGAGTATGGTTTTACGCTGCTTTTTGCAATATTCCAGCAATATCACGGCAGGGGGGACACCAGAAATGGGCTTCACACATTGTACCCATGTGGGGAATCGAACCCGGGTCTTCGGCGTGATGAGCGAACGCTTCAACCACTAGACAACCCTCTGTCCCATTTGGTTTAGGGATTATCGATCTCTATGATGTATATCGATAGCAAGCCCTACAGGACTTGAAAGTCCACTATGAATTATGCTGAATGCAAACTTGGCTAGGAAGACTTGAGACCCATAAAGATCTGCTTGCCATAAAAAGCGACTATGCTTGTCGTAAGAGGCGACAAACGGGATCGGGTGGTCAGGCTCACTGACTTGATTGATGCATGTCATTGTATCCCATTGCGTTGATCTATGGTCATGATGTCAATCACTGGATTGTCTGGTCCAGACTCAAATATGTACAGACCGCCTTCATATGGCTGGAATATTGCTGAGTTTGGCGTTAAACAACAAACACACAAACAGGAAGACGTGACTTTATGATATTTGGAACAGCAGGTTTGGGAACAATGTCTCTGTTTCAGGTATCTTCATGTGGCGGTGTGCAAGGCAGACAAGTACATGGTGCAGGCGCTGTTGGAGAGGATCCTACGGGAGAACCTGCAGACCATGATAGACACACAGAACAGCGAGAGACAGGTAGGAGAGATGTTGCCGTGGCATTGTCAGTCATCACATAGTGTCAGTCATCACGTTGCATTGTCAGTCATTATGTGGCATTGTCAGTCATCACATAGTGTCAGTCATCACATGGTATTGTCAGTCATCACGGACTGTCTCCATGGTCTAGTGGTACCAAAAGACGTTAAAAGATGGAACTTGTTGTTACCCTGTCTTGCGCTCGGCATTAAGGGGCTAAAACAAGGACTGTTGGCTTGGAGTCAGTATACTGTGTCTGAGTGGGGTATTCATGTTAAACTGCGGCATGGTATCTCAGTGGGCTAGCACTATAAATCGATCATCAGTCCTGACAATTACAAGCAGCCACACACACACACACACACACGCACGCACCCAATTTCACATCATGCTTCACATCAGTCATCACATTGAACTGTCAGTCATCGCATGGTATTGTCAGCCAAAGCTGTTATGGTTAATTGGGTGTGATGTTTTAGGGGTGGAGCATGGTATCAATTTGGTAAAAGAATTACAATAATTCAGTACTGTCATTGTATAAGAATATTTCCAGAACATAGAAGATATTCCTAATACAATGCTTGTTCTCCACTTCCTGTCTGGTTGCCATGGTTTCTTTTGTTATATACTACATGTTAGATGTATATGACACTTTACATTTGGAACTTATTTATGTTTAAAGGAATTAGTAATTAGGTGAATAAGTATGCCCTGTTACACATAATGCATATTTCTGTTATAAACAATGCATGTTCCTGTGTCAGACAATGCAGGGGGAACAGGTGGCCCAGTCGTCTAAGGCGCCGCAATTCGCTGTGCAGAGTAGCGTTCCTTGGGCACGCCAGAAACCCATGATTGTGTGTTCGAATCCCAGTTCGCCCCGATTATGTAACTAGGTTTGTCAGCACCATACCCGTGCTCGTGAGTTTCACCGAAGTGGTAAACGTCTGAGACCTGCATCACTATGGGCCATGATATGACTGGAATACTGTTAAAAGTGGCGTTAAACCCAACTCATTCACTCACTGACTCAAACAATGCATGTTCCTGTTCCAGACTCCCGTGTACCTGGCCGTCAGCGCTAACCAGCCTGAAATGGTGGAGATGCTTATCAAATATGGCGCTGATGTCAATCTGCTTGCAGAGGTATTTATACCCCTCTCCTCATGGTGTGGGCAACTTGAAAAAATGTTTAGATGTAATTCTGTTACTCTGCTTCCAGGGGATTTCTTTAAATTATGTCCACTTATACGTTGCCTTGTTCCACAACAGTGACTCAATAATCAGGAAATGGTTAATCTTTACAATTGTTTAATCTTTACAATTGTTTAATCTTTACAATTGGTTAATCTTTACAATTGGCTAATCTTTACAATTGGTTAATCTTTACAAATGGTTGATCTTTACAATTGGTTAATCTTTACAATTGGCTAATCTTTACAATTGGTTAATCTTTACAATTGGTTGATCTTTACAATTGGCTAATCTTTACAAATGGTTGATCTTTACAATTGGTTAATCTTTACAATTGGCTAATCTTTACAAATTGTTGATCTTTACAAATGGCTAATCTTTACAATTGGTTAATCTTTACAATTGGTTGATCTTTACAATTGGCTAATCTTTACAAATGGTTGATCTTTACAAATGGCTAATCTTTACAATTGGTTGATCTTTACAATTGGTTGATCTTTACAGTTGGTTAATCTTTACAATTGGTTAATCTTTACAATTGGTTAATCTTTACAATTGGTTAGTCTTTACAAATGGTTAATCTGTACAATTGGTTAATCTTTACAATTGGTTAGTCTTTACAAATGGTTAGTCTTTACAATTGGTTAATCATTACAAATGGTTAATCTTTACAATTGGTTAATCTTTACAAATGGTTAATCTTTACAATTGGTCAATCTTTACAAATGGTCAGTCTTTACAGTTTCACTGGAAAATGTATTAGAATTTAGCACTGACAATTTCTGTCTTGCAAAACTCATATAAGTCAATATGTTTACCATGACCTCATGATGTTTGATATGATGTCACGTTCATGTCACAATGGACCATATAAGCACTTACAGTTACCCCACAGAGAGTCCAATTGCAGTCTGAAGATAGACATTGTCACACACAAATATATGCCGAAAAATGTTTTGTCAAGTGGGAACTTGTGATGATAATTTTGGGATGTGCATTCAGCTTGTACCACTGCGTAACCATGGTAACCCTGCTATTGATGCACATCACTCACACTGTCCAGAAATAAGGTGTTGGCTGTGTTTTAGAGGTCTGTGTAAAAAATACGAAATCATGAAACGTTGCTATAGCAGTCTTGTGTCGCTTACCTCTCCAAGGCATACATATTCAATGTGACAATTTGATTCCAGCGGACATCTACAAATGGACAGAAGGAAGTGAAGGCAGCCATTCACAGCGCATCCTCCAACGGAAAGGACCATCTCGCAACACTGCAGTCGTTACTTAAAGCACAGGATCTGAATCTCAACATGTTCAACTCAGATGGTAAATCTAATGACACGATTAAACCTATCACCATAGTCATGAATAATGTCAATAATTGGTTGTCTGGTTTCGTCACAATCACATTAAAATCAGATCTCAGTTCTCGCTACCGCTAAACAAAGATCTGAGGACATCCCATTACGGGTCACGTCAGAACGACTTTTCATCCGACCAATCAGATAATCGCTTACCATATTACGAAAGTGACAGTCGGAATGTGATTTCTGATCATGCAACCTCGAAAATTTTCACTCTGAACGATAGTGACGTGTTTAATGACTGAATCCATACAAACTAGACCATCTATTAGCCATCCAAGAATGTTTTTTTGTTCAGGTTTCAAATTTGTAATTGAGAATTTGTCAAAATATGTTTCGAAGCGTAGTCGCCAATTTGAAATTAGTGCCGTAAAGCACAAGAAAGCTGCCTTCTGATTGGTCTTTACATTGGTCGGTCAAAGTTCGCCCAGGTCGGTCTGACGTGACCCGTAATGGGATGTCCTCAGATCTTTGTTTAGCAGTAGCGAGAACTAAGATCTGATTAAACATAGTTTTTGAGGTTGCATGATTAGAAATCACATTCCATCACTTTCATAATCTGGTAAGTGATGCTCTGATTGGTTGGATGAAAGGTCATTCTGACATGACCCCTAATGGGATATCTTCAGATCTTTGTAGCAGTAGCAAGAACTAAGGTCTGACTTTAATGTGATTGTGTGTTGAGAATCTTAAACTTGTTAAATATGTTGTTAGTGTTTACCCATCTTTCACGTTTACATGAAAGACAGAGAAAGGATGTTCACTTCTCATTTTTGATCATTAATTGATAAATTCATTACTTTTAAACATGACCCGTGAAGATCCGGGTAAGAATAGGTCTTCAGCAACCATTGCTCGCCGTAAAAGGCAACTATGCTTGTCGTAAAAGGCGACTAACGGGATCGGGTGGTCAGGCTTGCTGACTTGGTTGATGCATGTCATCGTATCCCAATTGCGTGGATCGATGCTCATGATGTCAATCACTGGATTGTCCGGTCCAGACTCGATTATTTACAGACCGCCGTCATATAGCTGGAATATTGCTGAGTGCGGTGTTAAACAACAAACAAACAAGTTTTAAACAGAAATTCCACCACTTCCAAACACTGTAGGGGGCACGGGTGGCCCAGTTGTCTGGGGCGCCGTGATTCGCTGTGCAGAGTTGCATCCCTTGGGCACGCTAGAAACCTATGATTGTGGGTTCGAATCCCGGTTCGCCAAGATTATGTTTCTAGGTTTGTCAGCACCATACGCGTGCTCGTTGGTTTCACCGAAGTGGTAAACGTCTGAGACCTGCATCACTTCGGGCTTTCCTCCCACATTAAGCCGACACGCCACGATATAACTGGAATACTGTTGAAAGCGGCGTTAAACACAACTCACCCATCCAACCCCAACACTGTATATACTACTCAAAAGAAGTTAAGGACCACCCGATTCTTACTCTTGTTAATCTGTCATGTCATGATTAACTGTAGTACTATTAAAAGATTGGGTGTTCTCAAGGTTCTTTCCAGTAGAACCTATAATAACAGGGCCTAGTTAGTCTTGAACGCTCTCTATGTGATATTTTGTTTGCAGGGTGTACAGCTCTCCACTGCGCCATCCTTGAACACAGCCAGCCCCGCCCGGACTCCGGGACCCCCACAGACAGCAAGCCAATCATTGAAGCCCTCATCAGGGCAGGGGCCGACCCCAACTCACAGGTGAGAGCAGCTTTGTTTTGTTTGTTGTTTAACGCCGCACTCAGCAATATTCCAGCTATATGACGGCGGTCTGTAAAATAATAGAGTCTGGACCAGACAATCCAGTGATTGACATCATGAGCATCGACCCACGCAATTGGGATTGATGGCATGTATTAACCAAGTCAGCGAGTCTGACCACCCGATCCCGTTAGTTGCCTTTTACAACAAGCATGGTCGGCTTTTACGGCAAGTATGGGTTGCTGAAGACCTATTCTACCCCGGATGCTTCACTGGTCGAGAGCAGCTTTCATCAGGTACTTGACCAGTCAGGACAGGAGGGAGGGAGGTTGAATGTCGATGTGAACAGTATTTCAGTTAGATAACTGCATGTCAGCTCGTATATTGTCTGGAAGGTAATTGAAGGTACCAACGTTTGTTACAATATCTGAAAAACTATTGGACCTACTCCAGTCAAAGTTGGTATGAGATCTTTAAAAAGTCAACTCAACTCGAAAGGGTGCACAGGAATACGGTGTTAGCGTTGGGCGTCTCCACGTGCATGATTCCCGTGCACCCTTTCGAGTTGAGTTGATTGGTTCAACTGTGTCATATGGCCCTGTGACGCAGGGGTAGCATTATGCAGATGGCTGTTACAATGAATGCTCGTTCCACCCGTGACGAACAGGTCTGGTTATTGATGAAATATAGTGATAGCTAAATAGACAGATTTTTTATTCATGCACCGATTGTCTTCAAATGTAAGATCCAGTTATATGTGACTGTTAAATAATCTCATACCAACTTTGACTGGAGTAGGTCCAATAGTTTTTCAGATATTGTAGTAAATGTCGGTACCTTAAATTAACTTCCCGACTTATAGCGCCTTGTGGCGAGGGTTCAGTTTGTCCAAAGGCTCTTGTTTGATTTTCCACATGGGTACAATGTGTGAAGCCTATTTCTGGTGTCCCGACTGTGAACGCACACTCTTCATTGACCACTTCCATAGTCTAGTGGATAGAACATAGAGAGAGCGAAAGGTTGTTTTTTCTATCCCTGGCGTCATACAGAAGACGTTTATAAATTAGACTTGTTGTTGCCCTGCCTGGCGCTCATCAGGTATGGGATAAAACAAGGACTGGTCAGCTCAGAGTCAGTATACGACCCGTGAAGACCCGTTAGAATAGGTCTTCAGCAATCCAGGCTTACCATAAAAGGCGACACTGCTTGTCGTAAGAGTTGACTAACGGGACTGGGTGGTCAAGTTGGCTGACTTGGTTGATGCTTGTCATTGCATCCCAACTGCATATATCGATCTCATGATGTCAAACACTGGGTTGTCTGGTCCAGGCTCGATTTTTTACAGACCGCCGCCACATAGCTTGAATAGTGCTGAGTGTGACATTAAACAGCCCACAAACCGACCGAAGTCCAGACAAGTACAAGCAACCACACACCTCCATCTTTTTTTTCAATGCTCCTCTACCTGTGAAGATCTGTTAAGATCTGTGAAGATCTGTGAAGATCCCATTCTTGTCATGAGAGGCGACTAGTGGGCTTGGGTGGTCGGGCTCGTTGACTTGGAATATAGCTGAAATATACAGCGTTAACAAGCGAAGATCACAATTCTGATGAGTGTTTTATTTTTATTTTTATTTTTCAGGACAAAAAGAGCGGAAAGACAGCCTTCATGTACGCACTGGAGACTCGGGACTACACTTTGATTGACACTCTGTTGACCCTTGTTGATATCACCAAGGTCAGGTGTTACTTCCGCACACAAGCGTTTGACGGAAGCACGTGTGTGAAGATCATGGAGAGTAGGAAGGCCGAGTTCCCCCCCAAATTGTACGACAAGCTGACAGCCATTATGTCAAACAATCGCAGTATTCTCTCCCACAGATGAGCGGGCGACACATCGTTATTAATTTCTTGTCATGATACTACTGACGATGTTAGGAGCATTGTTTTTATCTCGTCTGTACAAAACATTTAGCATCCCACTGCTGTTCACTTCATTTCTGTACAGATCATTTTCGGTCATCAACATTTTATTACTTAATTTTTTGTACAGAACACTTTAATATTGTCCCCGAACTGGTTTAGAACTATTGTCTATATCATAATCATTTGCATCTATTTCAAAAATATTTTTTTTCATCAGAAACCACAACTTTTTCACTGTGCAGAGTTGTATCCCTTGGGCACACCAGGAACCTATGATCATGGGTTCAAATCTTGATTTGATTATGTTTCTTGATTTGTCAGCACCATACTGTACTCGTGGGTTTCAGCAAAGTGGTAAACATCTAAGACCTGCATCACTTGGGGATTTCCTCCATCTTTGTGTTGATATATCACTGCTGTTCAATCTGTGTCAAACACAACCCGCCCGCCTACTTGTAACATAGATTTCAAAGAGGTGTTTGAACAGACGTTTAGTCTGTTCACCTGTTACTCTTTTTCAAATAATGTTTCATGAGTAAAATATTTTTAAGGCATACATCTAGCTTTTGGACATCCCTTTTGAAGCCATTGTATTCATGGATCTGAAATTTTGTATATAGGCTTCCTAGCAATGATGTCTTAAGAATTGCTTTTCATGTCAACATTCAGTTTGTTATTTAATTTCAAATATTTTGCCATAATTTTTTAGCATGAATTGAGCCTTGAGACCTCATCAGCAAACTAACAAAGTGTCCTTGAACGTTGTCGTGTTGATATTCATATATTCCAGGACTCGCGACTGGTTTTCCCCGTTATTGCGCATCTGTAAATTATCATTATTATTAGTATATTCATCCATGGTTGTAACAAGCCTGCGTTGCCAATGCCGACGTTATCAGAGTTCATGAGGCATTTGGCAAGGGGCGACTGACAGGATCAGGTGGTCACGCTCGCTGACGTTGTTGATGCCATCGTATACCAAATGCATAGGTAGATGCCAATCACTGGATTGTCCTGTCCAGACTTATTTAGTTACAGGCCACCGTCATATATTCACCAAAATATATTGCTGAGTGTGACGTTAAACAACAAACAAAAAACAAATATGAGACATTTAATGTTTTGACACAAGAGTCAGCAGATTATAGTTCTCTGAAATCTGTGACTTTTACAGACGTGTACAGACTTTGTATGTGATCAGTAGTTTCATAGAGTTACCTCCCTTGTTCACATCAACTCCGTGTTTGTCCCTTCCCTGAGTCTCTTCATTTAAGTGTTCAGGGCTGAAACGGTTTATTGCAAATAGATATGTCTCTTCAAAGCAATGTAACTTGAAGGTTCTTTTGTATTTATTGGATGCACGAAAAATTGGAAACAATTAAAACCAAAAATTGTGTGTGCAGAGAACTCTGCAACTCTTTTGACATAATTTACTTTTTGTGTTCCAATCCAATAATAAAAATAATTAATTGTAAGTTTACAAAATACAGATTATGAATTCCAGTGCGTTGATTTAAAACTGATTTTTAAACGTTTATTGATTTTCAACATGCATTTTTGGAATAACTCCATCTGATTGCCACCATATTTGTTCCATCTTTGCCTTACTGCACAACAGCAAACATTAAACTGATCTGATTGAATAATACTATCAGGACGAGCACAGTTTTACCAATCATAGAACATCCTATACCAGTGCCCTTTTGTGTGTCAAGAATATGACGCCTATCCAGGTCCTGCTCAGGGACCGATATTCGGCCCCAAGTCTGTACAAAATGTCAGTCATAAATTCCCAAATTGGAATTAAAAATGTTGGCCTTATTAGCAAAAGACAAAAGAAGCCAACACCCTACAGTAATTGTCTTTAGCTAATCACCCATCAGATTTAATTATCTGGTTCCCTTCCTTGTATATTTCCACCTTTTGTTATCTTACCGTATTCGACGTAATAAGCGCCCCGCTCTAATAAGCGCCCACGGCGATATTTGCTAATATATTGGCTAGTAAAAAATCCCAGTTAGCACCCTTTCGATTGATCAATGTACACAAGACTTATTTATTCGTGTATAATACGCACTCGTTTGTTATATGCACCCTTAATTATGGGCAATTAAATTCTCGAAAACATATCTATCGTGTATAACACACACACATTCTTCTTTTATATCATTTCAGGCTGTCAGCATAAATCACAAAATTTTCAATCTTTCAACCTCGTTTTTAATCTCACCAAAATTATATTCTAATAAGAGCCCCTAGTTCTAATTTTGAGAGCGCCCTGAGCGCTTATTACGTCGAATACGGTATTACTTTTGTTGCCCTACATGTACATATATATGCTCTCTGCCTCATAGCATTCATTCACCTGATGAAGGAGTAAGCATATACTCCGAAACGTTGTGTTCCTCATAATAAAGAAGTTGACATCCATATATTCTCTTCCTTATGTGTATCACTTCTAAATGCCATTCAAAGACTTGTGTACTCTATGTTTTTCAAATTTTGTTTTTTTGATAGATGTGTTGATTGTGATATTGTGTTAAGGGAGGCCTTTTACAGTGAATACTTGTTAGTTCGAACATCTGCGGATATGCAGTGGAACCTGTCTTGACTAATCCTGATCTCTGTCACTATCACTCCAGATTTACAGTTCCAAAAATACTAGGTTAATTTATCATCATGTAAAATTGGGGGCACGGGTGGCCCAGTCGTCTAAGGCGCCGCAATTCGCTGTGCAGGGTTGCGTCCCTTTGGCACGCCAGAAACCTATGATCGTGGGTTCGAATCCCGGTTCGCCCCGATTATGTTTCTAGGTTTGTCAGCACCATACCCGTGCTCGTGGGTTTCACCGAAGTGGTAAACGTCTAAGACCTGCATCACATCGGGCTTTCCTCCCACATTAAGCTGACATGCCGAGATATAACTGGAATACTGTTTAAAAGCGGCGTTAAACCCAACTCACTCTCTCACTCGTGTAAAATTGGTCGTATCTAAACTTCAGTCAATCAGATTCTTGATGAAATGGGAGACAAAAGACCTATTTATCATGAAATGGACGCTCCCAAGTCTCTCCTTCAAACCTAAATTAATGCTTCATGTCAGAAAATATATAATTTTGATAGAAACAAGTAACTACATTTAAATTGAAAAGGAGCCCCAGTGAAATGGGAGATTCAGACCTGAGGAAAATCTAGACTTGCTTTATTTAGGGCTATAGCATTACAGTAAGGGCTGGGCAGAATAGAAAATAATATGGTTCAGGGACTTTGAGACAGACTACTACAGACCCTGAAACATATTTATACAAAACCTCCGTTGTAAGTCTACAAGACTTTGGACAGTCTAGTGTCTGAAAATGTAGATATTCCCTTGGCTTGTTTCAATTATAAAAAAAAACACACCAACAAATGCTTTGAAAGGAGGAGCCTAGCAATTGAATTTATTTTTAATATATTTTCCCCCACATTTTTTCCATGTCTGACATGTCTAGGAAACATGTATTTTTGTGTGTTAAGATTGAGGCCAAATATGTTTTTGCAATTTTGAAAAAAATCCCAGGTCCCCAAGACTATCATATGTTTGGTCCCTTGTGGTCTATTATACACACAGACTCGATTATTTACATGTGAAGGTCATAATGCTTGAGTGAGTGAGTATTGTTTTACGCCGCTTTTAGCAATATTCCAGCAATATCAAGGTGGGGGACACCAGAAATTCATAATGCTTTAGGGGTGGTCGGGTAGCCTAGTGGTTAAAGCGTTCGCTCGTCATGTCGAAGACCCGGGTTCGATTCCCGACATGGGTACAATGTGTGAAGCCCATTTCTGGTGTCCCCTGCCGAGATATTGCTGGAATATTGCTACAAGCGGCGTAGAACAATTCTCACTCACTCACTCATAATGCTTGAAAAGTGCTGAGTGCGGCGTTACACAACAAACAGATGATATTGATACCGGCATGTCTAAAACTTCTGATAAGGTGCCACGACTACCTAGAACCTGGGATGCTTCACTATACTACTTAAAACAAGTCAGAGATCACCAACAGCTGGAAGGCTGTGTGTAGTCATATAAAATAATTGGGTTTTCTTTAACTTCTTTTGAGTAGTATATGTTATTTTGGCCAACTTTTAAACTTAGGTCGCTTAATTTGAAATTTGAAATGAAAACCATGATTAAATTTCACTTTTTTTTTTAAAAGCTGAACCAATATTCTCTTTTTTAAAAAAAACGTAATCATTTGTAAGCACTGATAAATTTTCTAAGTAATCATCATGAAAAGTTGTCACATTGTTAATTCCTTTTATGAATCTGCACTTCAAATTTACTTAAATTTGTCAACATCTCACAAAAACATATTTATTGTTAATGATGCTCATTTTTTCTTGTGCCATGTGGAATTGGACGTACAGGTACACAGTTTTGAGGGAAGCCATCACACCAAACATTCTGGGTTCGATTCCCGACATTGATAGCCTACAATGTGTGAAGGCCATTTCTGGTGTCCCCACTGTGATATTGCTGGAATATTGCTAGAAGCGGCGTAAAACAATACTCGCTCACTAATAGTGTTTAAGTTGTTTGATGATTTGTTTTTAACAGTCAATGGCTTGGTTCGTTGCATTAACTTCATGACACATTTTAAACTAAGGGTTGGCACCCACTTGAATTTGGTGATGCATCCATTTCGCGATTTACAGTATATTTTCCCTCTTGACATATACTGCTCAAAAGAAGTTAAAGAACACCCGATTCTTTCACATTACTATCGTTGATCCGTCATGGCCTGACTGATTAGTTATAGTACCATATTCGACGTAATAAGCGCCCCGCTCTAATAAGAGCCCATGACGATATTTGCTAATATATTGGCTAGTGAACAATCCCAATTATCACCCCTTCTGATTGATCAATGTACACAAGACCTATTTATTCGTGTATAATACGCACTCGTGTGTAATATGCACCCTCAATTATGGGCAATTAAATTCTGGAAAAATATATCTGTCGTATATAAACATTTCAGGCTGTCAGCATAAACCACAAAATTTATCTTTCAACTCTGTTTTTTTCACCAAAATAATATTCTAATAAGAGTCCCCCATTTCTAATTTTGAGAGGGCCCTGGGCGCTTATTACGCCGAATACGGTAATGTGAAGAATCTGAGGATGTTTTATCACAGCCGTTCAGTCTTGTTGATT